AGCGTCGGAAGAGGTCCCATCAGGTGGTCAAATCGACGGTACCCATCACCAGCCGTACCGACCTCCGGGCCACAGGCCATGAAAACGCTCATGTTGCGTGCGATTACATCCCCCCCCCAAAAAATGCAGCAACAACGCGTCCGTCCAAGGTCAAAACTTGAGATCGGCCCCATGAGCGTGAACGACATTTGCTGCATGATTCCACCATGGTTTGGTGCCAGTGCTCCTTGGAACCCGTGCGAGATCACAACTCGTTTTCCGCGTGCCGTGATCACGAGTTCACGCGTTGGTTTCTTGGGTGTTCTCGGGATGTTGGTCAAGAGCTTGCTGAAGGGTTTGAAGATGAGCAGTGCGACCTCCCGGAGTGGAGGGAGAGAACTGGGGAGCGAAGGATTTTGTTCAGCCATGGAAGCCTTCCAAAGCCTGGTGAGGATAAAAACATCCTCCATTCTCGATACCTCCATTGCTGTGCGGGTTATCCAGAGAGATACGTGAAGATGTTTATCTTTTTTCTAGGCAGAATCGGTTAGATGGTCAAGACAGACAGGACTGGATGAGGATGCTGATCAACAAGTGTGGGATGTTCTGGCATGTTCTGGCTAGCGGCTAGATTCCTTATATACTTGTCCGGTGTTCATAAGATGGTTGGTCTTTAAAGACCGCTGGGCTGCTTGGCGTGCAGCACCGATTCGGCAGCCACCGCACCGTTCGGACATCGTCATGTCGTATGTAGCCTTGTTTGACGAGATGCTACTGCACTCCGCACTGGTGGCCTGCAAACAACACCAAATGGTTGAAATTATTTACATATACATATGCATACATACATATATATATATATACAAACAAGCTGTACATGAAGTGCCTTCAAGGGTTGCGAAGCTGTACATGAAGTGCCTTCAAGGGTTGCGATGATTACCACTGCATAAGAGCTTTTCATTCATATGCTAGAGTGCACCAGGCCAAACTTGGCAAACGATAGGGGACTCACAAAGCAGCAAGGTTCCAAAACATTGGGAAACCATAGGGGATTCACAGATCTGACGATGTAGCCGCACCGTACCTCATATGGGCGTTCTGCAATGAACCTTTGATTTCTATCTATCAGAAGTCTATGGTCTATGATGTAACAACATGCAATAGTCGAAGCTAGAGCAAGCACTTACCCCACGGTTTTCGCCGATTGGCAGTGAAACAAGTCACGAACGAAACGCATAAATCAAAGCTACAACAAAGGTATCATAGGTTGGACTTTCCGAACAACCAATGTTCAACCTATGAATATCTCCTTGTTTCTCCTTACCCGGTGAATATCTCCTTGTTTCTTAGGCTTCGATCTTCACTGGGCTCTTGGCCTATGAGATCTCCCGGAGCGTGAACGCTGGGCTGATGGCCCCTCACCAAAGCTTTAGGGTCCGATGAATTTTTGAAGGGCCATGAGAGTCGGTGCATCATGGTGTTGCAGTAGTAGGAATGAGTCTGGTATAGTCTGGTAATATTTTGTACAATTGTTATTTAGTATTCTTTGATGGTATTGCTTTATAGTACCCTGTTTGGCTGGCTGGCTTGGAGAAGATTTGCGCCGGGTTCATTGCAATGCAACAATTATTTGGGTGAGGGTCTTGTCTTGACCCACAGTCAAGTTATGAGTTGCAGCCCGAGGAAACAAGTTTTGGAGAACAACAAGCGTTGGGATTCAATAGATATAGTTCTTGCTATGTGTTTGGCCGACGGTACGCTTTCGCAGACCTTCTGTTAAGATGCTCACATATGCTCACGCATTTTGCCCAGATGGCCAGTGGAAAAGACTCAAAGACTCGCTCTTCTGACGAAAAAGACACCGACTCTTTCAGACCACTAAATCGATATTTGAAGTTTCAGTTTCATTACCAGCCCCTCTTTTTTTCATTCAGAAAAGGACGTTATACGGGTGTGTGTTTTCCAGTGTTCTCGAAAACACTTGTTTTAGGACTTTGCATGTTGAAGGTGCTCAAACGTTGAGGACGAGACCTCGTAGTTGTTGGTAGGTGCTCGTTGTTTGCTCGTGAGTAGTAGTCTTCCTAGTTCACCGGATTTGGGGGGGTCGGCCAAAAAGTAGAATTAAAAAAAAGGTTTTGCTTTTTTGTGGTATCCTGGTATCCTTTGTTTTCCCCAAACAGTGTGGACACACTAGGGGTTCTTGCGGTAGGGGAAAGGCAGCTGATGCTTAGATCGCTGAAGCGCGCGGCCGTGACCTATTTACAGCACATTCATGACTATCGAAATCCTAAATGGCATCAAGCTACCACAGGTCAACGGTGAATGTTTGTAACAAACGAAGACTCCAAACTTCTGTCGGAAGCATCCAGGACAGATTACAATACCATACCCAATGCTAGACCTATTGCAACTTGAAACAATCCAACAACATTTAAAAAACAAAACACTGGAAAACACACACCCGCATAGCGTCCTGCTCTCTCTTTTTTTTGGGGGCTTGTTTATGCCGGGGATCTCTCGGTGCACCATCTCAACGGATGGGTCCGCGCGAGTCTTCGCGCGTCGAGGCCACTGGAATCATGGCGATCATTCCGGCCCACATCATGCGCTCGGTCGGAGGCGCTGATCGTTTCGGCGAACGAAACGAGGAAACGATACGTGGATGGTCGTTGAAATAGATGTTTCCAAATAGATAGGTCAGACAGGCGATGTTTCAAGACGTGTTTGAAGGGAAATTGAAACTTTGTATCTAGTCTGGGGCCACGATTTATACCGATTCATAGACCAGACCACTTTAATTAGATATAAAAACGAAACATAAGAAATCCATTGAGGTGAGCTCGGACGAGTGTAAGTTTGGCGTGTCCACCGTGCACTTTGGTTGCCATTTGGAATTGCAAAATAGGCAGACATCGGCAAACAAAACAACCACAAGCGTTAACCAAAGGTAAAGACATGTAACTAAAAGCCAAAGACGAGCGTTGTGGGAACAAACTTGGATAACCCACGTGTTGTGGCCGGCCCTACTACTCCCAGCTGAGTTTATGTCATAGTGCCCTCAGAACTGCAAAGGAACCCATCATTGACATAAGAACTCGTGGATACGCAAGGAGCGATCGCGCAAATTGTTTTACCAATGGGTAATGGGTCATGGCCTGATGCGTGATGCGGCATCTATAGTAATATCATGTGTATATAGTATATATGTTTTATACAGTGTATATTATAACAGTGATCTGAGTGATATCTCGGTTTTTCTCAGTTATTCACCTTTGTTCAGTGATGAAGGATCTTTTGCCATTGGTGAGTCTTACTAGAGGAGCCCTTTGGAGTATACAGTATGGAGATGACATTCACAATGTAGCCTCCGATGGACAAACCAAATCAGAGTACATCATGGAGAGGGACAAATCCCAACTGAGTTTGCTGGTCATGAGCCCGATTGAAATATCTCAATTAGCCGAATCGAGTTTTCCACCATCCTCTCATGAACCTACAGTTACCTTGGGACATGATCAAGTGTCCTACCAAGCACATGCAAGTGTGCTTTTGGAGGCATGGATGGACAACCCACTTGGCCTTTGTGCTTGTGTGCTGGAGCAATGCTCATGGGCCCATGCAAAGTAACTCATACCGCGCCCAAACGAAAAAGTCCTCCAGTCCTCCGCCACTGAGCCCGTTCCATTGGACGATTCGTCAGGAAAGTTCGACAACGAGGCTGTCGCCATGACCGCCATCGTGATGACGACGCTTGGCGTACAGTCATGGGCGACAGAGAAAGCGAGCAGCTGAAGCAGCTCGGGGGAGATTCGCGATGATCTTTCTGGTGTAAGACATCATCAACAGCAGACTACCCCACAGATTGGTTCAATTACAAGTGTGCTAGGGCTGGCTATATCCCAGGCACCTGCAAACTTGGAAATGTTGTTCCAATATGTTCCAATGTTCCCTCAAGTTGTGACATGTCATTCCTTGTATTGTGCAGAAATCGCAGGTTTAGACTGTGCACAACAGCCAATGCACTCATCAGGTTCTGGCTATGGTTGCTTTCTGCTGCAAGCTCAGATGCATCAGGTTAGAGAATTGATGATAATTGGATATAATTGGATAGGTGACCAGAATATACCAGAATAAGAATATGATGGGGTCAGAGGGAAGTTGTTTTTTTCACGCCACTCCTGAGATCAAAGGCTTCACGATTGTTGCTGCCTGTTGGTTTTTCTGGTAGGATCGACCAACGGTACCTGGTGCTGTCCCAGGTGCGGACGCCCAAGCATTGGCCGATCGGCGTCTTGACGGGACTCTCTTACATCAACATGGTGGCGGCATGGGGTGGCACATTGACCGCAAGGGGCGATGATTTGGAAACGCAGAACGTAGTAGAACGATGTAGAACGTATAGTATTTGGATAGATGGAGGGAAAAGACGTGTCAAGAGAGTGTAGCAATTACGAGGATCAACTTAAAGCATTTTGCAGCGTAAGACCTGCAGGCGGCCCAAGCAGACTTGTGAGATTCGTATGGGACAGGAGCTACTAGTAGCTTCTTGCTCCTAGTAGCGATGCCCTTTGTTTCTAGTAGCTTCTTGTTACTAATAGGGAGCACCTGTTACATCCTGTTACTAGTACCGTCCTTGCTACTAGTAGCGATGCACCTTGTTACTAGTTGTGCCATAGTTGTCACAAGCCTTTCATCTCAGTGCAAAACTCTTGGGGTACAGTAGTTTAGTTGGCGAAACTGTGCATCAATACAGCCCCTCCCACAAGAACACTTACTTACCAGCATGTCCCATTGAAATGGGGATGTAAGTATGAGATTGTATATAGGAAATCACACTTGATGGCATCCCGCCTTTGGCACCAAATGATGGCATATCAAAGGTGTTTTGCGAGTGGCCTCCAAGTGTAATTCCCCAAAACAGCCTATACTCATGGAACAGGTCTCACAGTGCCGTTCCCCATCTGTTTGGTGATTTGTGGAACAGAAACTCTGGTTGGACAGGCTACATCTTCGTGCTGAACATGATTGGCGTGCACGCTTTGATGTTGGTTGCCATGGGCCGCTTCACCAGTGGAGTCCACAGGCCCCGATTCCACGTTTGACGATGTTTCAGTGGAGCTGTGGAGCTGCCTATGTCAAGCAAAGATGGCTATGTGAGGGAAAACACTGTAAACAAAGAAACATGCCATCGGTGTCGGAGCACTGAACGACTCCAATGGTTCAGCTGGAATTGCAAGCACTGGGCCGATTAGCCAAGTCCTGAAGGCTTAAGTGGACGGAGATGGGCAAGAGGATTATGCATTATATATATATATACTGTACTGTATATATATATATATGTGTGTGTTGTTATTGCACACACACACATACGCATACAACGAGGAAGTAAACCAAACCCCAAAGTGCCCCAACATATTTTGGCGCACCCGGACGCTGATAAAAATAGCCGTCGAAGAAGATAAATCCTTCTTCGGGCACAGGGCGTACTCGCTCTTCTTCATCGTGGGCACATTGGGTGCAATTCAAATTCCAGTGGTGGGCATGCAGCCGCTGCGCTCTTTAGAAGCTCTTCCTTGAAATCAGAATCGACTCGCGACATCTCCTGAGAGATTAGACTTACTGTAGATAGTCGGTAGTCATTTGCGAGTGTTCACTCGGCACAAACCTTTGTGACGCACAGGCACAGACAGATCGATTTGGGTCAGATTCACTATCATGTGGCATTTGCCTAGCCATCAAGTAGTTTTGTTTTTCAGGAAGCTGCTGTCATCTGCAGTCCGAAACCCTGGCAAACACCCATGCAAGGCACCACCAAAGACCAAAGCAGATTCTCTTTAGGAGGGCCTCAGCCCGGCCAAGCAACAAGTGGTTGGACATCGCTTCGCTTTGCTTTCGTCCTTCTTCTCCAAGGAACAGATGGGACCTCTCCTCGTCTTCATCGGCTTTCAGGTGCGGCCGACAACGGACCTCTCGTGGGAGACGTCGAGACGAAGAGACGGCGAGAACGAGAGAACGAGACGAGAACCGGGTCACGTCTCCGACCACGAGAACCGGGTTACATATCTTACACACACCATCATGGTTACGTGGATGGTCCCGAAAGGAAGACACCCCGAATCATCCACAATACCATCTTAGTGAGTCAGAGTGAAATCAGAGGAGATCAGACTCTCACTCCTTTCAGCGCGACAAGAAAGTGATGGATTCCCACTGCAAGGCAGGTCCAACTCCCAACAATCATTATATAATTACCATCCCCTGTTTCACCACATTGCTATTGGACGAGTGTGCGTCCACACCTAGACGCCCGGTAGGCATATTATATGTATCCTCAACGAACTAATTCAGAGTTCCCAATAGAGTGGTCAGTCATCAAGGAATGCTGAGGAATCATGAGGAATCATGTGAACTGGTGAATCCGAGAATCCTGTTTGTTTGGGCTGACTCTCGAGGCCAGATCCAGATCAAAGCTTTCATGACTCCAAAGATCCTCCCATCCCCACCCATCCAGTGGCTTTGGAGACCAGGTCTTGGCCTTTTGCGACTTCCAGCGCCACAGGCGCCTGCCCTGCCGGAGGGGAGAGAGGAACGGCTAATCCGCGAGGAGTTAGAGATGTTTGGATGCAAAAACCAAGCTCATGAAGTTGGAAAAGGCTGCTTCTCACAAACGTTACTATCTCCAAGGGTATGCAACATTATACAACTGGATCGCCAAGAATAGAGCTCTTTAGCTTCTTGTTGGGTTTAAGTGGGCTTCATCCTAGGGTCGAGAGCTTCGAATTTGTGCAGTGCATCTCCATGCTAATGCAGAGATTCCACGAATTGCAAGCTTGCCCACTGTATGGAAGCATGTGCATTTGGGTCAGTGATGCTATTTGCACTAATTCAAGATCTGCTAAGTTGAAGGGTCTTGCCGGTCTTGCCTTTCCTGTATCGTAATTAACTGGAGGACCTTCCAAAATAGAAAACGAGCTGGAGGTGATAATGAGAGCCCATTTGGGGAAACCATTGGTCCTAGACACAATCGTGAAACCCTTGAGGGAGTTTCGCTGGCGGATTTTGGTGTGTTCTTCGCAGGGCTCCCACCAGCGCTCCTGCAGTTTTCATGTGTCTTCCAAGTGGCTGCCGTGGCCGTCGGTGTCAGCCATATCCATCTCACCCCACCCACAGGAGAGAAAAGATGAAGGATCCCATGGGCACTTGGGAGTTCGTGCGCTTCCGCATCATGAATCGTGGCTGCAGATGTCCGATTGAACGATGTTTGCTGCATGGTTCGACGAATGGCTACAGGTACCTGAGGTGGTGCAGGGTTTTTATATGTTTTTATCCATCCTAAGAAATACTTGGCATATGCTTGGCGCAAGGTCTACAGATAAATCAAGGTCTTTGTTCTGTCTTTCGAAGGCCTGAACACTTGCTTTGCATCCCGAGCACAGCAGTCACAGCTTCCCAGGATGTGTTGCTTGATGTTGGTCGCCTTGGCAATTGTGGCCGTGCCTTGGAAGACTGGTGAAGTTCTTCGACACTGGTGCACACATGGGGTAAGGGACTCCTTTCCAACGTGCCTTGGGTTTGTTCCAATTGGTGATCGTTGTTGAACTCTGTGTTGAGGATGTCCACTTATCCACCAACAAATACTTGCAGGTACTGTGCACATATGTGCACATCATGATGTACTGTAACTGTTTGCTTCTTTCAGCTAGTCTCGTTCCCCTTGCATTCCCTTTCTTAATTAAGACATATTAAGACCCAAGAGTGCAATGTATGGCAGCGACCTCACACGGAATGCGCACTTGTTTCACGGGAGGCATGCAAGGCATGCAGACCGGATTGATCTATTCTTTTTATATATTGAATCTCCCCAATTTGTTCAGCTGTGACACCTGAGCCTGTTTTTTTTCCGGACAAAAATACCGTGCACGCGGAGGGTCATTGTGGGCGGACTCCGCATGCCTCGCACCAGACAAATGGGACCGAACTCAGGCCCTGTTGTACCCCACGGGCTACTTCGGTCCTCTCTCCTCTCGAATTCGCGGTGCCTTGGAGACTGATGGTCATTTTGTTGGGCCCATGGATTGGTAAAGTTTGGGGGGATAGCTGCAGCTAGACATGTATTGAAACATTGATTCAATTGATTCAGGCGATCCACAAGATTTGACACGATGGGTCGTGAGTAGTTTAACATCCTGCTTCCACATAAGAATATTCAAGGATATCCAAGAATCTACATGTAGATTTGTGCGTTCTTCAACATGTTTTAACCCTGCTTGAATCGTTTCGTTGGTTCTTTGCTTCTTCGATTCGGATCCGGCTGATCCTTGACATGCCGACGTTCGCGGGAGGATTATGGACGCGGCACGTTTCGGACCAGCGCAAGTTCAGAGGGGCTCTTTGGCCCTATGGCCCCAGAACCGAGTTTATGTGCCCCCGTGTGTTGCCACCCTGGTGGTTAGGTGAGAATTCTCGCGGGGTATATACTCGAAGACAGCATGAGAGCAGGCCCTTTCTTTCTTCACTTAGTGTCTAAGTTAGGCCTCAAATAGGTCAATTATAATATGATATAATATGCCTCGTGCTGATGGGAGTCATGTGCCGCCACCTTGGCTCAAATTAGGCCAAGGAGCCAGATGGCAAGAATGAGACCACATGGGAAGGATCTCAGAGATGTTGCGTACATGGAAGCCCTCAAAGCATCTCACAGCCCCTTTGACCTTCAAAGGCTCCACCAACAGCTTGTGGCACATCTCCTCCTCACACGCGTCAACAACCCTCGCTGTCCCTCCCAGCCGTTGGCCTCCGCCGGATCGCTGGCCATGCAGAGCTCCAAGTCGGATAGCGCGATCATTTGCCCCAGAGGGGCGCTTCCAGGGTGGCGTTTGCCGAGAGAAGGTCCTGAAGATGGTGGTGGAGAGATGAAGGTCATGGACAGGCTGGGCGATTTGGAGGTCAGATACCCAAGTAGGGATAAGTTTGCAGTGGATCCTTTGAGAGTTATTTGTCCGGGTTTCCCGAAGATTGGATGCCTGGAAGATGCTCAAGCAGACAGCCAGCAGTCTGGAAACGCGGGTGACTGATCGGAACAGCTGAATAGTTGGCAATTACATTTTAATGCGGTTCCTCATTCACGTTTCTCAAAAGCTACTCCATGTGACCCCACTATGGAGAGAGGGGAAACGCTATGGAGAGAGAGAGAGAGAGATCGATCGACCAGCGACCTTGCTAATGTTTCAAAACATCAAAAAACATTGAAAAAAAGGCGTTTGTGGCCGCTTGACTCTTGTTTCGGGGGCGAATTTTGCGGTGTGTGTGGTCTCACTCAACAGAATTTGTTAATTAGCTCCTCAAAGAGAGGAGACGTAGAATTTAGCCTGTGTGACGCGGGCTGTGTTCCACAATGTTCCACACCTCCCTGTCAATTCGTGTTAACCAACCGTTTCGTTTCGTCGACCGGCGAACGTCGTCCGTTTCGAGGGCCCTGGCGGCGCAGTTTCGGCCCCCCACCGTGCCACACGGCCGCTGGTCCCGTTCCGCCTCCTCGGCAGCTGGGCAGCAAGAGGGGAAACGAAGACCATCCATCCGGTCATTTGATATATATATATATTACATACATATATATATATATACAATTATAAAATGCATGATTCATGATATAACATAGTAATATATATATATATATGCATGATATAGTGTATGTATATGTATTTATATATATACCCGTAGTTGCTTGTCCTTCTGAATTCCTTGGCTTCTGGAGTGTTTCAAGAAACAGATCGAGGTGTTTCCGGGTGTTCTGGCATCTGGTGCAGTGTTTTCAAGTCATGGCCTTTTTCTCCAACTTGTAAGGTGTTTGGCATGTAAATGTTTGAAGAGCAGAAGGACCTACAACGTCATATATAAGTTGGATACATACTGTGATTGTTTCGTGTCCTTGCAATGCCCGGGTGAAACAAAACAGAACTTCCCCATTGACCCGTTCAACCCCTCCCAACGCAACCAGGCCGGCGAAGTCTCCCCGGCCTTCACCACTGGCTTGAGCCGCGGTGCCGCCAGCCACACGCGGCTCCGAGCCTCGTCGCACGAGTCGCCAGCGCAGCACAGGCGGGGCGACCACCCGTGGAGAGAAGAGTTTTGAATTCCGGCCCTTTTTGGTAGGTAGATGTAGGTAGGATGCATTAGGATGTCGCAATCCTCTTTCAAAAAATTTAAATATGTGTATAGTCAGCTGGCGGCACAATCCCGTTTGGCATAGGGGGCCTTGTTTCAAGCGTCATGAAATTCAGTGTTCTGTTTTGAAACGCCCCAGCGCAGCGCCCGTGTTCGCGTGGCTCTGCAAAGCACGTGTCGTTGTTCTATCCCATTTCTATTCAGTTTGACTAAAAACAACCTCATGCATCGACAAGCCGGCACCCGAGGGAGTTCGCTTGCTGACACACTGGAACCGGTTCTAGTTTAATAATATTAAGGTATACATATACATATGTGTACACAAGAAATTCGACGACTTACACTCCGGCTGAAGCCACTCTTTCATTCCCTGGACCTGCCAAGAAGCCCCACCAAGAAGATCCGCCTGGAGCCTCTCAGAGAGTGGGCCCAACAGGTGGAATGAGGTGATGCTGAAGCACAAGAAGATCGAGACAACCAGAGAAAGGGCCACTTGGCGTCGCCTGAAACCATCGAAAGCTGCAACCGCTTGGTGCGCTCTTTTTGGGGTGTGGGGGGAGAAAAAAATGATGTGCATCGCTACTAGGAGCAAGGGCCTTACTAGTAGTAACAAGAAGCTACTAGTAACAAGTGCATCGCTTCTAGTAACAAGTGCCTTACTAGTAGTAACCTTAGGTTAACATGTTCGTGTCTCAGACCGGCTCTCCAGAAACCACCTGGTAGCTTGGCTGGCTGTTCATCTATGGATTTGTGCAGGGTGTTTTATGAGGTTTTTACTGTTTGAAGGTCGGCTTTTGTCAAGATTTATCGTTCGGATCACAGCCAAGGTATATAGTTGAGAAAAAGAGTGCAGAAGAGGTCCCTCAACACATCCTGTGGTTAGAGGTCCCCTGTTTTGGCACCAACCCAAGCTCTCCAGTTTAGATTAGCTGCTTTTCTCCTCTCAGCTGTGGATGGCTGTGAACTCTTTGGGATTATGCAACGGAGTGCAAATTATTGGAATTATGTTTGTTCTTCGGCTTTTGGTGGCTTATGTGGCTTTGGGTTGTTTTGGTTTTGATGGCTTGCTTTTGGTTCTCGTGAATTTGTTTTTGATATCATATTTTGTTTGGTTTGATGTTTGTATCATTTTGGTGGCTTGGCACTTGGTTTGCTGCTGGGGGAGGCGCTGCACCTTCCCCCCAACCCCCTCCAGCTTTTTCAAGCCAATCCAAGCCAAAACAGCCGAACTAAAGCCAAACCCAAGCATTTAGGGTAAGGTTTTTGGTAGGGGATGACTGAAGAGCTGCACACTCCTTAGAGGCCAGGAGCAAACCCCATAGGGAGCAACCTGGCAAAACCAAAAGCACTTCAAAAAGATGCGCCCAAGAAAACTTCCTCGAAACTGACATTGCAGTCTTATACAATACAACTGTTTGCAATTGGGAATGCTGATTCGTCGAGGATGTTGATTTCACGATGTGAATTGTTGCCGTTTATTAGAATTTTTTTTGTTTTTTGATGCACAGTTTTTTTATTTGGGGGTCAGACTCAATGTCAATGTTTTCGGGTATATACTACGGCAAGTCTTCCATGGCCGTACAAAAAGTAGTGATGGCCTATGTTTGGCAAGATTTTACATGTTGCTTTTGAGAAAGCTGTTCTTGTTCAGGGTCAACGTGTTGTAATGACCAACACAAGTCAAGGGAAGAGATCCAAATGAATGGTGGGGCTTCTCCCTTTGCCAACACCACTGTGCACTTGATGTCCATGGAGTCCATGGTCTAAAGAGCTGCTCATCATGTCAATTCAGATCGACACTTTCGTCGACATTTCCTATGTGCTACATGTGCATCCCTTTTCCAAGTTCACTCCTAGACGCAGACGACACGTTCTGAACTGGATAGACGGTCTCTTAGGATCAGAAGTATATCGGACTGATGGTGGAGCACAAGGAGGACTTGCGCCAAGCACGGATGACGCGCCTCGTGGAGTCGATCACCAGTGGAAAGGGTCCAGACTATGAGGCCACGCGTCCGGATCCGGACGGGTGGGTCCGGTCGAAACGAAGGGGAGAGTAGAGTGGCGTACGGATTAGGGGAGTGTTTGGGGGGTTGACCATGGTAATACATGAAATTGGTGGGCCCCATGCAAATCTAGAGTTTTCACCCTTTGGAGAAGTGAACAACACACTGGCGTCAACTTGCTATTCTTCACTGGCGGAAGCCGACTTTCACCCGTTCGACTACATGTTGAAGATTCAGCTCACAGGTCCACATTCCATGCTTCTCACAGGGGTGACTTGAAATTGGCTGTAGGTTTTGGGGGAGCCTTTCAATCCATCTACTTAAAGACATGCAGCCTCAGGTGGCCGTCTTGTTCTGTTCCTGTCCTAACAGCAGCCTTCCTTGAAAGACCAAGCTGGAGGGCAGCTGCCCTGGCGGAATTGGCACTCACCTTGCGCCCTGACTCAGGCCTCACTGCAACTAAACTTCTTTCACAACATGAGATGCTTGCCCCGGTGGGTGTCGAAACATGTGTTCACGGGTGTTTTTTTGGACAACAACAACCACAGTCCGGCACACTAGCTACCTAGCTTCGGCCTTGGGATCAAAGTTGGGTCAACCGCATCCGCACTATATCTTGAAGAAGGTGAACTTGCCCAAGCACCGGGCTCCAGCTTGGTGTGAGAGGCAATTGTCTCGCGATCTTGTTTGTTTCAACGAAGAACCCCCGATGGCTTGGGTGAGGTGAGTGGAATTGAAACCATGACAGTCGGCATCAGTCAGCACTGGCAATGATTGCGTATGGATGGTCTTGACATAGGTCCAAAGGTTCATCAGCCAGGCTTTTCAACCTTGAAGCCAAGGTGGAATTCCCCTGCAATGATAGAAGTGAAGGTGTTTAGGATTTGGCTGACAGCATGCAAAAGAGATCAAAAGAGTATAAAAGAATCAAACGTCAGTGATGGAAAAGTTCTGTGGGCATTGCCCCTCCTTCCACTCTTCCGGTTTGATCTCAAGGAGAGAAACAAATCGTGAAGAACTATATGGACTGGGACGAGAACATTTTCGGCCCTGCCGCAAGAAAAGCCTTCTTTCATTTGAGCCATGGCGTGCGGAAAGATGTTTTATTGTGCTTTTGTAAGTTGCCTATAAATAGTTGTCCATCCCAGAAGGGACACAGCTTTTGTTGTTTCAGCAAAACGGGTGAGACGTCTCAATGACAAGCATGGCAGACTTTGGACTGGAGTCCATCCCAGTCCACTGAACTGAAGGAACAGACGCAAGAGCAAAAGGTTAAGCTTCCACTTGGAAGAGGAACGCTGCGTGGCGAAGATTTGAGGTGATTCCTCACATGGGATGGCGCTAGGATGCGCCAGGTGTTTTGCTGGTCATCTCTAGCGATGTGTAGTATCTAGGGTATTCCAGTGACAGTTTAATGAGTCTAGACTCACAGATGCGTACTTTAAGTTGGATAGTTGGACGGGGATCAACATGATTTAGACAAGGGTGTTTGAATCAAGACGCCAAGAAGGTTCACGCAGACTTGCTACATTTTGCGATGTTTGGTGAGCACTTTCAGTCCCTTCAGGCTGCAAATAGTAATTACACTTGACCCGCACTTACTCCGACAACGAGATAAAGGTGCTGATTCTGGATGTGCTTGTGAACTCATTTAATTAAGCCGTTTCTCTTGCAGACCCAAAGGCAAAACAGGTGGCATTTGGCGAAACAGGGCGACCATCCACAGTTGTCAGTGTAGGAATTGTACCGGGAGACAAGTGTCGAGTCACGTTCATAGCAACAGTTTGTACTTAATCAAGTATATCAAGTGCTCGTGGAAAGGGACTTTCTCACTCTTTTGATACTTTTGGTGGTCCTTACTCATTTTACTCCCCACCATTATGGGATGTGGGGATACAGCATACCTTGCAGAGTTTTGCTGGCAGGAGCCCTTCCGGCTTTATGTGGACAACACGAAGGACAGCTTGGTGAGAATTAGCTGTGGAAGATGCGCATAGACCTTGAGAGCCAACATCGGCCAGATCAACTTGCGCCCCTGAACAGGCCAAATCGGAGGGGCTCAACCCATCTCAACCCCCTTTAGTTGTTGACCAAACAAAGCTTTGTTTGGGTTTGGTTCTGTAGTGAGGGGATCAGGGGAAGCTTGGGTTGGGCTTGTGGATGGTCAGGAGGTCAAAACACAAAAAAACATATCAGAGCCTTCACAGGACCCGGCCAAGCGGCCGCTTCAGCAAAGCGCTTCAGAGAAGACGATGAACGCGGCACCTGTGCTGTTGGAAGAGGGCCGTCTCGACCGGGTCAGTCTCATTGGATATCCACGTCGGAGCTGTACCAAAATGGACAGGGTTGAAGCATCCCACAACCAGGGAAGATAAAGATACAGTATTCCAAATCCTGATGTAGACCTGATTCTATCCATCGGGAGGTGTTCAGGAAACAGGACACCACCAAGCAATACAAAGGAGAACCGGCCCAGCACATTTTTAGGATTACTTTGCAAGGTCATTAACTTGGAAGGGGTAGCTAGTGCACCTTAGGCACCTCGAAAACATGTGCTCAGCGCCATCAAGTTTGTGTTTGACATTTGTTTGGACACGCGTTTTTGATTGTATGTATGTATACATTGTTATTCATTGCTATAGCTATAACTACAATATATGGCAATTCAATTCATCAAACACCTATGCTTACATTGACACTTCGATCCATATTCGACCCCTTTCCAATCCGAGCTCGTATCGCTTCTTGCTTCACCATGCTCACATCTTCTTCAATTGCACAGAAGCGCCGTGGCGCTGAGGATCTCGAGGCCGCTGCCCGCACGACGAAGCCGCTGGCGGCGCCGGGTTCGTCGCTCACGACGAAGGAGTTGCTTCGCTCACAGTCTCGTCCAGTGCTGGAGCCTGACCTGTGGGGAATGCCGCTGGGCCGTCGGATAAGTCCGGGGAGCAAGGCAGCAATGTAAACAGTGTTGCATATGTTCGACCAAGTTCGTGTTTGGGATAAAAAGGAGAGAGAGAGAGAGAGCAATTGACACTAGACTCTCTAGACCCATCTACACCCTGTGTCAGCTTTTTCGCTCATGTTTACCAAAGTTTATCCGGAGACCGGAAGACACAGGCTAATGACTGGCAAGCAGAAACCGCTCCGTCTCAGGTATGGCAGCTCCGTTTTTGGACGCTTCAACCAGATCTTGGACCCCAACAACGATGGGCGGAGCCTCCGCCGACAGGGCCGCAATGCCCATTTGCCCAGCACCAACGACGGAGGCGGCGAGGCGCCCACATGCCGAGGAAAATGTCTGGTTTATGTGACCGAGGTTCGATACGATTCCGGCGGTTCCCCCGCAAACAACACACCCTCAGAATCGTGTTGACCTTAGACCGGGGCCGCCAAAAGGTTGGCCTCCATCATTCACATGGTGACAATGGAGAAATGGTTGGCCTCCATCATTCCATGCGAATGGTGAGCAGACCATGAAGATTGTGACTCACTTGGCCTCCACCATTCGCAGCCATTGGCATGCATCGTTTGCACTCTACAGTCGTCTCGCTCCAGGTGGCTGGGACGAAGCACAGTCGACTCTTCGGATATCACGACAAGGGCGTCCTCCAATCTCACCGTGATCGGGGCGAGGCACCCCGGTGTCCTGTGGGCGGTCTGCGGGAGGTAGACATCCTGTCCCTTCACCTGCCTGCGCGCCTGCAGGGTGGAAGAGCTTGCGTCCCTGCACTGGTGGTCACCTGAGATCAATAGACAGAATAATGCAGAATAAACTATCAGGCAGGCTTTCTTGGTGAGAAGATTGAGGGCTGGTGTTGTGAAGTGAACTACTCTCATAGCATAGTGCATGATAATGAAGGGACCGTGTGTTAAGAACTGTTCGCATGATCAGGGTTCCGAAATCCTCGAGACTGACCGAACTCTTCGAGATTTCTACTACAGGTTGCTTGGGGGACAAAAACACACCAGCTATGCCTGCAAACCGAGTGCTTCCACGCCCTCCACCAGTGGAGCGCTTTCTTCACTCCACGGCCGTTGGAGGCGACGGTCTTCAAGTCCCAGGAGGGCTCCAGCTGTGCGGCACCAGCGCAGGATCACTTCACCTACCCCGAAGGACCGGAGGTCGTGAGCCTCAGCGTGGAGATGGAGATGGATGCTGTGGGTAGGGTGGTTTGGCCTCCCAAGAATGTTGGGGGAGGCTTAGGTTTGGACATGAAATGGATGTGTTTCGGTCAGGTACCAGCCCCGGAAGCTGGAAAGAATCGGGCTTAGGGGAGCCTATGTTCAGCTTAGATGGCTTTGCAACATGTACCTGATTCCCAATGGCAAGGTACTCCTCGGCTCTTGGCCAGTCCATGACTCTTCAATACCAATTTGCCTATATATATATATAACTATATACAAATTAGTAAATTAACTTGGATCATCCGTTTGCTTAGAGCTCAGAAATGCGGGGTCCTTTCACAGCAAAGCACATCTACAAGCAACACTGAGCCAAGGAACTTGGACTTCCCGCCCAGCAAGAGGATCTTTCCCGAGCGCCGGTGAGTGCTGACAAAGGCACAGTAGGTTAAGTTCGCACTCCCTCAAATGTGGTCCCTGCTGGCGATACAGCAGAACCCAAATTCAATTGCTGTTCAGTTGCTCCTCCCTGATTTGGACTATCATAAGGTTGGCATGGGTCAACCTATCAGCACTTTTTTGGTGTTCAAGGGGTGCTGTTTGTTTGCCCCAAGGGCCCTAGGGCCTGGAATATATTAATATATTCAAACCCTGGTGCTGGGGAGCTCAAACATATCCTTAAGTGCTTCACAGGATTGAAGTTCCAATTCTGCGGTCCTCTTGCTAATGTGTTTCAATGCTCTTGCAAATAGTTATATACGGCCATACTGCCTTTGCCTCGTATTTGGGAAGATACCGCAACATGACCCATTCCCTTCACTAAACACCGAGCAGATCGAGTCCTCAGCTTTGCGCTCGCATGACATCGTTTTTACATGAAGTATATACTTGGGGTTCACACAATTGACTCGAGCCGGCCGTTGGTTTTGACACCATAATCTCAGGTCCGTCGCGTCACAGATTAAGAAAGACGTAGAGAAAGACCCCCGCATAAAGAGGTTGCTCCAAGTGGAGTTTCAACCGCAACTGTAAAGCGAGGTTGACATTGTTGACTGCAAGCATGTTGGCGCTCCCCGCAATTCCTGCGAAGCGCATGTGAAATGGGAGAGCATGTGAGAGCTGGGAATCCCCTGGTGGGAGGGTGTTGGTAGCCATAATGAATTCAACATATTTTAACCAGAGACCAGATTGTGTCCATACTGCGTGTTGTGGCGCAGAGTCGCCAGGATCAGCATTTTAGAGGGTGTGTTTGTGAATTTGCGCGGCTGAACCCTACGTAGGCTATCAAAGCCTAAACGGTTTGAACACGGACTGCGCATGATGCATGATGTAGCTAGGACGGCTGTAAACAACTGCAGCCGGCGCCAAACCAGTGGCTGACCAATGTACTGACACGTGCTAGAAGATGGCCTGAACCGAAGCGCATCGATCGAAATGCGAGGAGCTCGTGGCAGGATTTTGCATAACCAAGCCGCAAGGACACCATGTATATCCATGTATACAAATCCGGGTCTTTTGGAAGTTTGCATTTGTGGATCCTGGGACTGGGTCGATGTGTTCGGAAGGTCCATCCCAAGCGCGGCGCGCGGTGGTTCGGCTCGAACTTGGCCCGGCTTTGCATGGATCGGAGAAACACCCTATCCCAAACATGCCACAAGGAAAACACTCAGGAAAGCACTCAGAATATATGAGAACGCTAGTGAGAACGCTCTACACCTGGCCAATTGCTGGAGGGTGTCTGAAGGCGGAACCTTTGCACGTTGCTCCTGCGCCTTCGTCCACATGCGCGGCATTGCACTGGTGGAAGCACTGACTCAATGGCACTGGGAGAGTGGCCTTGACTCAACGGACCGAATTGGGACGGAAGGGCCAAACAGAACCTCAGCATAGAACCTGTGTAAAGTCGTTTGGTCTTGTAGAACGTCGTTTCAGAACCTGCGTTTACATTGGTGTTTTCTTTCAAACCCGGTGTAGTCACAACCCCGACGCGACTGGTAACCTCAGAACCAGACCTGGTGACCGACGGTCTTCACAACGGTCTTCCGATGTTTGGCTGGCGCACGGACGGTGGTTTCTTCCGGTCGTACTCCGTGAGGCGACCGAGGTCCAACCGGATGCTTTGCCCTGTTTCCACACCGGATGCATCTCTCTTTGTTCCAACTGCTTGGGCTTTTGCAAGAAAGGCCACGGAGAAATTTGTCAAGACACTCCACTGGGAAACCATCCTTGCAGTTTTGGGATCAATAAGTGAGGGTATGACGGAAAGGGGCTCAGTTTAGTGGTCAGAACCTTGCTGCCCAAAGTCAGAACAGGGAAGACCTCACTTGAGGATGTGGGACCCATGACCCAAGGCAACTGCTTCCACGACCATGTGCAGCGCTTTGCCCTCGAGCATTGCGACCTTTTCGCTGCAGGCAAGCCCGACTGCTGTCCAGACGCGATCCAAACAAACTAATAATAAAACTGACGAACATAGAAGGCGACCAAGCCTTTTTTGGGTACAGGAAGGACGTAGCAGATACCCAAGCATTCTCAACCCCCACTGGCAGTTGCCATTGTGTGCTTAAAACACCCTTTTGCGGGTGTGTGTGTGTATATAAGTCACACAACCTTCACCTCAACCTTTGCCTCCACCGCCACCTCCATTGGCCATCGGCGACTCACCGCAAGCTCAACCACCACTTCCGCAACCGGCACCATCGGACCCCACAGCACCAGCCCCCAACGTCACCATTTCAGCCACTGGCTCCCAACCATCTCCATCACCATCCATCGCATCAGCCCCACCAGCTACTGCACCTCCAGAACCTGCAACAGACAAGCCAGATAGCACCGCTTCACCAGCACCGCCACCACCGTCCCCACACCCACCTCACAGCAGTCGCTGCCACCACGACAAAAGCCGGCGCAAGTCTGATCATCACCGCAGTGGCCGCCATCGCCATCACCGCCGGCATCGGCATCACCGCCATTCCAAACACCACAGCACCACCCGGCGACGCCGCTCGCCCTCAACCTCCACCTACTCTTACAGCCCCATACCCTCCCGCAGCCGCTCCCGACAACCCATCGACCTACGACCCAACAACGACAACACTAGCACCGACCCCTCTCAATATCCCACCACAGCAGTCATCCGTCGCCCACTCAACCGCTGGCGACCTCCACCCAATTTTCAAGCTCTCTCACCAACAGACCAACTCCTTGACTGGTTCGAATTTCACGCCAACCAACTCGACTCCCCCAACCGACCACAGCACCAATACATCGCCAATCTCCTTTCCGACTGCAACATCACTTACAAGGACATCACCGACTTTCGACAATACACCCATGCGAAGTGGAATGAAACCACTAGCCAATATGACCAATTCCAGTACAACGCCATCTCACTCCCTTACCTCAACTCCCAAGCCACCACACCAGAGCCACCAGCGGTTTCCCGTGCCACTTCCACCCACCGGGAGGTCGCGCACATCAACGCCGGCCATACAGGCCCAGTCGACAACATTGCCAACATTTTACGCCAAGGTCGTTTCCTACCCAGCACACTCCACTTTGCCAATTACCCTGGCTTTTTCGCTCAGGGTATCCGCATCACCCACAATCCAACCCACGACCAAAGCGAGTTCGCTCGCATTATTCACAACACTTGGCAGCTCCACAAAAACACCCACTCACTCATCATTACGCTCCTCGCCTGGGGCGCCGCCACCAAATACACTTCCGGTGGCGAAGAACAGGCCATGACCCTCCTCAACGAGCACCACGGCGCCGTCTTCCACCAGAAGGGCAGATGCTGGGTCATTCACCCAGACCATGCCATTGTCAAAGGACTGGCATGGTCCACCAACTCCACTCCACCTGACCTATGACACCACCTTCCATCACCTTCCAACATCACCTCCCAACAACTACCACTTCCACTCTTTGTCTCACCCCACCACACACACACCTTCGCCCAAAAAGGCCATTGCTACGTTCACGCGGTCCTTTCGAGTTTTCAAGTTTTCAAGAATTGGCGGTTTTGATTTGCAGAATTCTGCTGTGAACCTTCCACCAGGCTCTTCCGATGATGTTTTCAACTTGTGACAGCTCCACTTGCCATGTTGTTTCTCAGTTAGTCCTGTAATATTTCTGACCATTCTGGCCCGTGTTTGTGCTCGATTAATTCATATGCATGGCCCCGTGATGACGTCCTGCTGCTGGCCAGCTGCCGCCTAGCCGCTTTGCCGCGCCGCAGCTACAACCTGTGAAGAACTCTTACTGAATAACCTCAATAACCGCCCACATCATGAGCAGCACAGTGTCAACTCCACACCAAGACAACCAAGCTCTTTTACACCAAACCGCTGTGGCACTTTCGCAGGTCCAAAACCTGCTACGGCAAGCAACTGACATCATGGCACACCTCCACACCCACTTTCTACACCACATCCGCCAGGCGGACCCCACTTTCCGCCCGAATTTCCAACAGCTACCACCACCACCACCAACTTACCCCATTAACTTACCTTCCCCCACCTCCTCCTGCGATTCTGCACCCTCCAGACCACGTGTCCGCTTACCACCACCACCATCCAACAACTCCGACGATACACCTTCACCCACCCCAACTCCACAACCTGCTACAACCCGCAAGCGAAAGCAGCCACCACCACCACCACCACTCAACCAGCAAGCAGACTGGGACGCATGGGATGGCGACGCCGATTGTCGCCTAGTGGAACTCAAAAGCAATCCCAGACTCCGTCCCAATTGGAATTTTGTCGCTCGACGAGTTGGCTTCTCCGTCGAGCAATGTCAGGCCCGATGGAAAGAACTACAGGACCTGCAGCATTTACAGGACAAACAACTCTCCTCCAAGCCACCACAGGCGGACCCGCAACAACAGGAACTTCCCCCTCCCACCCACACTCCACCCACTCCCACCTCACCAGCAGGCTCACCGCCACCACCTTCACAACCGGATTTCAGTACATCGACCGCGCCGAAGCCATCTTTGCCACTGGCCTTATCCACATCACCTTGCTTTTTGCATATCCCTCCAACACCCACCGCTCACAACAATGGCGCAATCGTTTTCGCCAGCTCCACATCCTACCTCACACTTACCACTACCACAACTTCCTCTCGTCTAACTCGGCTTACATCAAGCTCCACTTCAACCCTGACCCACCCCAACGCTGCTATCACCAACATGGCCACTTCTATGTCGGCTCCACCGCCATTGGGGCATCCCCCACAGAGAGCATAACCGCCGTGCCAAACTCAAACAATTACAGAACAACATCCCCATTTCCGCTGAGCTTTCCCTACGCTACTGGCATTCCCACAACAATATCCACCACTACACCACCATCCAACTCACATCCCACGACACCTACGACCAAGCCTGGATCCAGGAACACCACTACATTGCCAACTGGATGCCTACCCTTAACTGGCCCTTCATCTCACACCACCTCAAACTCAAAGCTCAAGGATGGCAGTTCACGAAGCATCGAGCGCACTTTTACTCCAGATTAGCCACTCACAAACGACTCTTCCGACGCCTTCGTCAACGTCAGCACACCCTCCGAGAACCACACCTCTACACCTCTACCAAGCATCACGCTCTTACGCTCCTCCGCAACCTTACCAAACATACAGCAGCTTCCTTCGAAGCAGCAAAACAATTGTTCAGTGGCCAACATACTGATCTTGAAGTCTACGCCATCCGGCGTATGGCCGCCAATCTCGAAGAACCTGGCCGCAGTCGAGCTCTCCACATCATCAACAAAGCCCTTCTGTATCGCAACCTCACACCACCCAAACCCAACATCCCATTAACAGTGCCCTTCCTGGCCCACGAAGATTTCACCAAGCATTGCCAACAGTGGCTCCGTACCACTATACAACACCACAAGCATCTTGCTATCCCCCTGCACCTCCCGTCACACCGCCTCCGGGAAGCTGCACACAAAACTCTACGATCCCAACTACACAACCACCGCACCTGGGAGGACACCCTCCATTCCCCGCCGGATCCGGCGGACCTCCCCTGCGCATGCCACCATCTTCGAACTCTACTGCAAGATCCTGATACACCCACCATCAATGGCCATTACATCCTCACACTGGATCAACTTCACCTCAGCATCTTTCTCAACGCCAACATGAACAGCACCTACTATCCAAGCAAGGCTCGCTACTTCCTCACTTTCCAGACAGCCTACACAAAATGGCTTAAGATGCAGGGATTACCGCCGTCCCTCGTGGAGCACTTACACCCTTTCCTCGAACACCAATGGCGCCTTCACACCACACACCTTAAACAACAACCACGCTTTACAGCACGCCTGCTTCGCCAACTCCAAGAATACCTGGGCCAAAACACAGTGCTTCACCATGCCGATCATGAGCTTCAACAACTCTGACTGTTCTGCCCCCGCCAATACTTCACTGGCGCCTTGAATACATGGCAATCCCCCGAACTTTTCGAACCACTTCCCTACCTGACAGCCGCCAACATCCACGACCATCTCAAAGCCACCGTCCCATCCACCTTACGCAACCGCTACAAATGGGGTTTCCGCAAGGATTTCAATATCCCCTACGGTGTGGTCCACCTCAAGGAGAAGAAGCAATGGCAGAAAGGCCGCACCATTATCTCCTACTTCCATTCACTCAGCGGTAACCTACTCCGCATCACCAGCCGAGCCCTCGACATCATCCTTCAGCACCTCTATCCCCAACATCCAGGACAACTGTCTATTCCACAACTATGGCACCATTTCCACAGCTACCTCACCCAAACCCCCGCGGACATTTCCCTGCACGCCACCAACGACGACCTCGTTGGCTTCTTCAACTCTGTCCCCCAACACAGACTCATTGATGCCGTTCACTCTCTGATCCACCACTGGCAACAACAGCAATCCACCCACACCATCACAGTGGATGTCCAAGCCACCGGCAACCCCTTCCACCACTCCCACATCGGCAGACACCACCGCAAGCATCCCACGCAACGCACCATCCAGACCTCCGACATCACCACCATCGTGACCTTTGCACTCAACACTTGCATTTTCCGGGCCTGCAACAACACCTACAAGCAAATCCGAGGAGCTGGGATTGGCTCCCAACTCTCTCCGGCCCTCTGCAATGTAGCCATTACACTCATTGAACACTCCTGGCACCAGCTCCACAACAACCTCCTGCAACACACCAGCCTACACTTTCACCTACTACCGATACGTTGACAACCGCTTCATTGTCCACAACGAACATTTCCTACACCATCCCGCCATCCAGACCCTCATCCACCACAACTTTTTCGGCGACCCGGTGGAACTCGAACCTGTGGACGACTTCCACCTCCTCGGTTTTAACATCGACCTCCAACAACGCACCATCACCTACATGCAACCTTCCCAACCCTGGAAAATCCGGGGTTCCACTACCGCCGGGAGCCAGCGCTTGGCTCTGTCAGGCCTCCAATCCAGACTTCACACCATTCGAAAATACACATTTCCACCCTCCAGCGCTGAAGCTGCTGCAGCCGAGCTAGTGAGGCTTTATGTCCAAAAAGGACACAACCACCACGCCTGCCACCGGTTTTTGAAAAAGCGCCGGAGCCGGCGACTTGTGTGTGTCCACCCCTGGACCAAGGGTTTCGTCCAACCGATCCACCTGCCACTTGTACCACCACCGATTCACAAGCAGGGGGCCAGCGCATGACATCACGACGCTGGCCAACGAAGCTAGTGATGTCATGGGATGCGGTCAGAGACGTCTGACCGTGTACCTGCCAGAAACTGTTGATCACGCTGTCCAATCTTCCTTTTTTGTTTTCATGGTCCTTCATGCTACCACCCCCAAACCGGTTTCCCACCGCTGCCTTCAGCCGCCGACGTTCAGCCGCGCTTCTGCAGATGAGTGAACAGATTGTTAAACATTTCAGTTGCGCTGACTTTTTCACCTTACGTTTCCCTCACCTTCCTTCCCAACGTGGTAACTGAGTCACTGAAAACCAATGTCAGAGTGTATAAGTATAAAATAACATAAATCCGTATAGTTGGCATCCTGCCCACTGGCTGAGCACCTCTGAGAAGCGTTTTGTCAATATTGTGTGTTTTTGTTTTTTCCTGTACCCCTTGTGCAGGCAATGAAGAGCAATGTCATGAGGCTTACCTTCTTCATCGGACATTCCGGCAACAACTGGAGGCACAGCCACCATGACTTGTGCAAGCTTATTGCCACCCACAGGAATCAGATCTCAAAGGGAAAGTCGGCTCGCAAAGCAGAATCTTTGGTTTATGGTCTTGATAGTGGTCTTGACGTTTAAATGTCTCAACATGAGGTTTGGTTCAGTTTAGACCTGCCTTCCTTGAATCTACGACTATCCCTGTTTACATGTGGAGGCATCCTCTTTGAAGCACCTTTGAATGCTTGTGTGTTGGGAATCATGAGGACTACTATGACTGTCTATATGGTTTTCTAGTTGTTGTGTTGCTTTCCTAGGCTATCACTTGTGTTCTGACCTTGCCAATGTCAGACAGATAACATCAGAAAATTAATAGAAACACTCTCTTGGCCCGCATTGCTTGGGTCCTGCCTTGGCAGGGCTTTCTGGAGGCCTTTCTTCGCGTACACGTGGCTGGCTGAAGACACCAGCGTTTGTTGGGGCAGATGTTGGAAGCAAATACCTCAAGATCGCAATTTCCCGTCAAACCAAGTTCTCCACGGTGTTGGAAATCCTTCGATCAGCAAAGGTTCAGTTCTGAAAATCGTAAAGTCCACAGAACTGAATGACTGAAGCTTCCAAAGACACTCAAGTTGTGGTTTGTGCTTCAATTTTGATTGTCCCGACCAAGATCAGCCTTCATTTTCCGATTGAACCGAATCAACATGCCGGTCTAACATGGTTTAACTCAGAGGAGATCAGAGGAGACCGGTCTTCTCCCAAGGGCCTTGTCGATGAGCCTCGTGCAATCTCAGGAGACCAACCTGGAGCTGCTGGAAGAGGCTCTGAAAGAGGCCAAGTGCTCCGAGGATCTCTACACTTCTGCAAGCTCATTTAGCTCATGTTTGTCCCTACCCGATCGGCCCGTGGCCCCTAATTGACCGTCTAAAGACTTGCAGCTTAGATTTAGTTTGATGTTGATTAGGGGGGCTATTTCAATTGCCTTTAATGCCTTTCTTTGCGGTGTTTATTTTTCCTTCGGAACCACCGGAGAATGCCAAGGGGGTGAACGAATGCCCCCTTTTGATAGGAGGTTTGCAGATGCACTAAGATGACATTCCTCCCAAGCGTCAGCGGTATATATATATATATAGATATGTGTAGTCAAGTCAAGTCCTGTACTGGATATATAAGTAAGGGGACGGAGCTTTTAATTTCAAACGAATCCATGGACACTTTGGCATGTGTCCCCGTCACGTTTTTGACCGTTCTCTCGGGCATGTCGTGGGTCCGATGTGCTGGACTAAGGTTGTGAGGTCGTGATGGAGGAGCTGTTTGCCCTTCTGGACTACCAGTCATTCCTGGAAGTCATGCAGCGCGCGACAGTCGCGACAGACCGTGCCGCTTCCGGTGCGCCACAGGCGACCGTCTCGCAGGGCTATCCGCGCGAGTGGTCGTCGGGGTGCACCACTTCAACGGCCTTTTAGAAGGCGGCCTGCCGCGTTGCCTATCGTTGCATTAAAGGCCTGGCGCCATGAGGTTAGCCTTTGCCTGCATTTGAGGTTCGCAGCTTCCAAGGGACCATGTACCATCGCAATGGGAGAGTGGAAGGCTGCCTCGGCCATGAATCATTTGCTCTTGTGCACGACCCCGTATTCATCCCAGGGTCGGCGGAATCATTTTATAGCTTGCAAAAGGCCGGAGTTGTCGGGTTGGAGGCTGAAGCTACAAAGTGCAGCCATGGCAGATGGTGCAATGTCATGTCCAACGGTGTCCTTCCTTTTTGGAGCTGAGAATGGCCAGGCGATCGTGTGCATTCCTTCAAGGAATGCCGGTGGCGATCGTGTGCTGTCTACGGAGCACTTGTTGGACGCTGGCAACGCTTTGCTTCATCCACCGCGCCAGGGCACCAGAGGTCTACGTGCGAAGTGCTGCGAACAGTGGATTTTTTGGTGGGGGGACCAGTCGGTTCAGCCATGGTCAGCCCATTCATACAACAGAGATACATAAAGCTCAAAGCAGAACCCAACATGTCCATGTCCATGATGAACTAGACAAGGTGAAGCCAATCGAACGCCTCCGAGAATAGAACGACCGTACAGCAAGTAACATGAGAAGTGTGAAAAAAAGGTGCGGCGTCCACTTCTGCTGCTTCTCCTGCTTCGCTGAGTTTTAGGCCCACTGGGGCATAGGGACCACTTTTTCTGTTTTTCTTTAACACCGTAGTACCCAGGGTTGACCTCCCCTGAGGTCTTTTCGTGAAGCACACGAAGACAGGCGGGCCCAACCAGCTTTCAGGATGTGGAAAGACATTTGAAAGGCGCGAGAGGTGAGACCAAAGGCGTCAGCAGTTCGGTGACAACACAACGATGGGCGCTTGCCCAGGTCAAGCAACCTCACCACGAACCAACCTCACCACCAACGACAGCAAGAAAGACTTCCTTTTGACCGTTGGACCGTTGGACCGTAACAAAGCTGCGGGGCTGCCAGGCAACCCCTTGGTCGATTCCGTAGCTGAGCACCAGCCTGCGAATCCCAGAATCTATGTGGCTTGGCAGAGCTTTTTTCAACCTGGGGTCTTGAGGTTTGATATGGTTTGACTCTACACTGGTATGCCATTCCAGGAAAGTAACAGACCCGGTGACCTGCAATGTGTTGGTCCTTTTATGTCATTTTCATACACCGACCCGGGGCTTAGTGGGCATGCTGCATTCGCACCGTGTGCTCGCCTGTTCTTCCTAACAGGCCGTTGTTTCGCCGAGGCAAGCCATTTGGGCTTGCCCTTGGACTATGTCCTTTTGGGCGGCCTTGTCTCCATCTTCCAGAGGAACAATGGCCGGATGCCCCAGAGGTCCTTCAACCACAGGAGTGCCGACACTTTTGGTTCAAGAGGGCATCTCGTACAAGAATTGCACATGGTCATTCCTGGGTGCTTCCAAGCTCTATTCAACTATAATACTATTTTTCAGAATCAAACGCCTAGAATAATAGTTTCCACTGTTAGATTCTCCCAGCGGAACTCGAATTAAATCTCTTTAAACCGGACACATGTGCCTCGTTGCTTTGCCCTCACAGCAAAATCCTTGTGCTACTCAGGTTTGATGGCGACTAGTTACTCATGCTTTCACAACTGTGAATCAGATTCGCACGTGACTAGTTGGTTTGATTTGATATGTTGGACAGACATCATATGACCTCGAAAGCCTTTTTTGCAGAGCGGGCGGTGACTATCACTTGGCCAAGGCTTCTACTTCATGTGCCTTTATGGTTATATAGTCGGGATCCTCAGCCTCAGCTTGTTTCCTGCTCATTATTGGTTCAACAAAATCAGATTGCGAGACAGGGTTAATCCGAGCTACTTTGGTTTTTTGAAAATATTTGCATGCAGTTTGTATCCATGCAGCTGTTTCATATATCTCATGCCCCTTCCGTGTGTCAAGACCTGGAATCAACCCCATCAGTGGGTTAACGGATACTGCAGATTGGACAGACTAGTGCTTTGACAGGTTGATGCAAAACGGAAGAATCAGTGGCAACACGCCTGGCAATTATCATATGTTAAACGTGTTAAACAATGAATAATAATGGCATATAATAGCTATAACGATTCTAAATGATGGTAGATTTGTAGAATGTTTCGGATTTGGTAATAACTGCAACTCCGTTTGCGAAGATTGTAAGACCTCCCCTCGGACGATGCCTTGGTGCCGCGTGGTTGCCCTCCAAGGCATCGCACTTCTCCGGAAAGATGTCTCGATTGGTCCTGATTTGTGGGCCGATTGTCTCGGTGGCCTGTGGTTTCCCGGCGCATGACTGGTGCATCGGAAGTTGAACTGACAAGCCAGTCATGTGGATGTTTGGCAGGTTTCATGGCTTGTAGGATGCTTGTGTTCTACAAGTTTCCAGATTTTGTTCCATGATGGTGGTTTGTTGGATGACTTGACAAGGGGTTCTACCACAGCAAAGCCCAAAATTGCTGACAAGCCGCTGGAGATCCATCCATTTTTTCCTTCAAAGGAACTGCTTCTCTGGGGGGTGCCAGACCCAGCGGCGGTTTGGTTGGCCGAAAACGGCACTCAGCGCCGAACTCACCCGAGCCGTGCTGGCAGAAACGGCCATAAACAGCTGCAACACGCCACAGAGCAGCCGAGAGGCTATCCGAACCGCGAAGTTGTGTTGTCAGAGTGCTGAAGGAACTCTACACAGCACTTGATTTGCATCGCATCAAGATCGGCATGGCCAATGCAAGTAGAAATAGAAACGTCCCACAAACTTGTTTGTGTGATGTTGCTGGTTTCGAGGAGACCAACCTCAAAGCCCTTTTCAACATGTTTTGCTTGACTCGGAGAACTCTCCAATAGATTTGTCTATGTGAAGCACTGTATCAAAGGTGTTCTATGGTGTTCTTGGTTTCACATTGGCCTTATAGCCTCTCGTCGCTTTTTCATGGTCCGTTCGCCCAACTTTTGTTCGCCCTGATCTGAAAACAGCCCGGGCCCGAGGAATTTGGTGCGGATTCCTTCTGGACATGGTGATCGATCCGCCGCTTGGTCCGGTCGGAGGGTCCGAACGTGTCGTCGGGTCCGAGTGGTCCGAAGGCGTCGGAGGTCGGAGACTGCAGACACGGGCGGGCTTAGTCGCATGGGTATGGGGTCCAACCATGTGATGTGCAGACCACATTCCATTCGTTCCATGAAGTGAGTACATGTGAGTACCACACTGTACTGCAATTGAGCTGGAACGAAATGAGCATGCAAGCACATGGCCGTAGTCCGTGCAAGTTACAATTACAAGTCCACTGAATTGCCTGGAGCCCAAGTGTTGGTTTCCCTGGACTTTTGGCACAGCTGCGCAGCTTAAAGGTAGCTAGCATATGCTAGCATCGTTTTTCCGGAGCCTCAGATACAATTGGCCTTGCAGGTTTTGGTCGATTTCACGCGTCAAGGACATTGGGCCACCTAATTACTAGTAACAGTTGGCAGGTAGCACAGCATGCGCTTGAACACATGCTTTTGTCAAGCGACCCAACCTACATATTCCGAAACGGGCCCTCACCATGTACTGCATATTGCATACTATGATTGCCCCAATGGCAAAGTGTCTACAACCTTACACCAGAAAAAGACACAGACAGACTCCACACCCCCACACTCCAGACTCACTGGCGGAAGCGGGGGAAACCGCAGAAACGCGTTCCCACACATTCAGCTTTCCCCGCGCCTTCACGTCTGAGGTTTTTGCTGTTGCTGGGAAAGAAAGGCTACGTGGCTCCCACTGCAACAGCTCCCCCCACCTCGGCCGATGAGAAATCGCCACTCGGAATGGGTTGAAATTTGGGAGTTGGGAAGCTTCGAGTCCAAGTCGAAGCGGTGATTTGCGGGTGATCCGGATCCACCAAAATGTGTTTAAAAAGCGCTTCGCTCAGTGCCAAATGTCGCTTTTTGATGCGGGAGAAAGTCTCACTTCCAGGATCTTCCAGGTCTTTGATGCCAAGATTCGGATTTTTGTGGTTGATGAACGCTGAAGCACAAAGTATATATATATATACTTGATTGATTGAGAAAGCAAGACAGGGATAGACAGGGAAGAAAGAACAAATGACAGAGAGAGGGAGGGAGGGAGGGAGAGAGAGAGAGAGAGACGGTTTTGGTAGCCTGACCTACTATAGTACCTACTATATGATAATCGAAACAGTTCTTTGACTTTCAGGAAGGAGTTCTTCCTGATATGTTGGCGCAGATTCAATCATTCGGGGGCAGTGTAGGATTACAACATCCACCAAGTGTAATGTGGAGGTGGAGGAACAATGAGGAATATGGTTTTGGTGTATAATATTTTATACACCTTGTTTCTTTGCATGGGCATTCGTTCACGGCACCTTTCCCACAAAAGTCTGACTGGACGGCAGTCACATCTGAGGTCAGGCAAGGCCAAGCAGGGCAAGAGCCAGAAAGGACTGACGGTCCGTGCAAGAGGTGCTTTCGGTGCTTTCCGGAAGTCGGGAGACGAGGTCAGGTGACAATGGGATCCAAACACCATCAAAAGGGTTGCCTTGGGATTCAAGAGGCGGGAACTCTTAAAGAAGAAGAGATTAAAGATTTGACATGCAGGAAATAGAACTGCAAACAAGAAAGGACCACAACCACAATGACCGCCGCAACCACAACAGCAGCAGCAACAACAAAAGAAGAATAACAAAAACAATAACAATCCGAACAGCTAACAATAATTCAGAATAAACTGAAGCTGATACGTCGCTTTAAAGATTTGCCCATTCGCTCAACCGAACAACATATATGAGAGGGAGTAGTTGCACCACCAGCCAGCGGCAGGCTGCTTCATAATGCATTGTGCCCAGCTGCACGATGTGGTGCAGGATGCTTCAAGAACTGAACTAAACATAAAGTTACTGTAACTATACTGTACTATATAAACGTTGTTGAAGCAGAACTCGGAGGAGTATGTACAACTCTCTAAGTTAACAACTAACAGCCGCTAACACAACTAAACGATTTGTTGTACAACTCTGAGGCCACTCGAACAGAAAGTCAACAAAGACCTTTCAACCAGACGCTGCCAAGAGAGAGAGAGAGAGAGCAGGAGAGGGAGTTGATATGCCTTTGAAGACATTCCTTCCTTCACAAGGAGTATGCTCGTGCATTTGGCACCCGTCAGTTGCTTTTCCCAGGAAAAGATGCCAAGCCCACGAGGTGGGGTTCCAGAAGTTTTACCGGTCCAATGTGATCTGCCCACCTGCCAACGGTGCAGACGTTTAACTTGTCCAGCGGCGTGTTTCTCCAAGATCTTTGCTTCCATTGGAGAGTATACATCACTTCTGCAGGCGGAACGAGCGAGTGGCCGAGGTGGAACTGGAAGAATGGGAAGAGGACCGCCATGAACGCACCGGACAGACGCCGTCGCATGTCGTCGCGCCCGGACGTCAAGTTCGCAAAACACCCGGTGTTTTAAGGGGACAGCTGAGTGGTGAAGCATTGGGGAAGCACCAGGTTACCCAGCCCTGTTTGACAGGGCCAGCTGGGAAGATCAAGCCCTATCCACTTCAGGAGAGCCGCCCAGGTGGGGCGATGCAGCTGAAGAGATTCTTGAAGAGCTTCTGGGCCAGATCAATGCAGGGTTGCAGACACAGACAATAGGGACTAAAATTCAACAGCAGTACAGAGATGCTGCACCAAAAGTTCATTCATCGCTATTTTTGTTCCGGCGCGACCTGTGTCGGAACCAATCTCATGCTGGGGCTTGAAATAGCAGGCACCTTTGATAGCAGGCAGCCCTTGTTCTTGCGGGTGGTCATGGAGTCCCCATTCACTGCTTGTGAACTCTTCATTGCTTGGCCAGTCACCACCTGAAGGTTCCTCAGCTGCTGAGGCTCATACCAGCAGCTCTTTCCAGGAAGCAGCTTGCGGCTTTGATGATTTCAGAGAAACCCATCAGATCCATGCTTGAGGATTGATCTATATAGTCTTTACGTGAGAATCAGTGGGGTGCCCTTGTTGGAACACTTGTGCGACCACCGGGGGTGATCACCAAGGGAGGATGCGAAAAAGTTAAGACAAGACGCTGAGACTTGGCGATGAGTCATGCGGGTCCAAACTGCTTTGGACGGGCCGAGTATCGATCGGGTGGCCAACCCACCGTTCGTGAACGGTGGCCCGAACGGAGGGCACAGAGCGAACGTGCACCGCCGCTTTGGGGCTGTTTGAAGATCATGATTTTATCTCCATGGTGGTGTTCTTGTCATTGCTCATCCATTTTCAACATGCAGCGCTCAAGTACACAATTCGCAGAAAGATCCTGAAACGTACTTTTCGTCACAGGGTTGCAACATGGTGATGGATGACCAAGTTGGAAGAGCTTCCTTCTTGAGGTTTTCCATGTATGCAACGGTGCTCCAGGCGGCGATGCCAAGACCCATGTGAATCAGTTTATCAGCCTGTATATGTTATGCAGAACCATGTTCTTTCCACCATTTTAAGTGAATTGCCCAAGGACAGCAAGGTGCTTCTGGTGTTGCTTCGATGCGCTTTGGCCATTGACCCTTGGCTAGAAGATGCATCGAAGCGCAGGTTTGAACAGTAAAATACATTTGCAAATGGGCATCATTGGATGTTTAGAGTCTACAGGAGTTTTATTCGGCAAATGCTGGTATATAGGATATAGGTCAAGCGACCCTGACAAGAAATGAAACAAAGCGGCTTAAGACAGGGAGAGGTAAGAAAATGGACTTCTCAACTGACGGTGATTGATTTTTTTCACTATGCTTAGGGTGTATTGCAGTGGGAGGCTCAAGACTATTTCAAGCTGGCAATGGCTATCGTATTAGATTCGATATAGCCATTACCCACTGATACACACATGATGCCTTTTGCTATGAAGGGAATATACTTGGTTTGCTTGCTCAGCCAAACATGGCCAAACCCCAACTGCTCCCAAAATTGATTGGATCTTATATATTTGGTTCCCTACAAATTCAAGCTTTAAGCCCCTAAGATCCTGAGTGCATTCAAAGCGTCCTGCTCACTTCACTCTCCAGACGCCATGTCACTTTGGACCTGGTTGCTGATGGGAGCTTTGGGACATTCAAGGCCCATTTGTTTGTTGGAGAGATTGCAACATGAACCATTTTGGGACCATGTGCCCATCGTGGAGTCTGACAAACAGCGCTGCAGCCCAAAGAGTAGCACTCTGCTGCCCGTGAAGGGTGGCCTAGAGATTCTTCTCGGATCTCTTCACTGGCCTTCTCTTCGGCAGTATTTGCAGCCGTTGGCTTATGTGTCCTACGTGGATGCTGTCCAGCATGTGGACCGAATTGTTTGGAAATTTCCCAGTTGGAGAGCTGAAGGGCCACTGCATGAGACCATGACCCTGTCTGATGGCTTCAACTCTTTTTGGCATGCCCTGCAGGAGTCCCTAGTGGAGTGCACCAGCTCCAGCTGCCTGGCCGCAGTGCTTTTGGGCGAGACGGTGCAAACTGCCAGAGAAGCACTTGCAAGGCCACATGAGATCCCTTCCTGGAAGAGCCTGCAGGCTGCTTTGCGTCAGCCTTTGCCTTGGAAGGCATGGCTGGAAACTAACTGGGCTGTGCCATTGCTGGAGTCTTTTCAAGCTTTGCTATGGGCATTGGGTGAGGAGACCGCTTTTGAGCGGGAAGAGACCGCCTGGGTTTTGCGGGAACTTTTGACCGCTTCGGACTGCCAGGCCGTGGCAAAGCGAGTCTTAACTTCGGATCTCCCTTCCAAGCCCTCTTTCTGGGACAGACCTTTGCTTCACTTGCTGGCACAATGCTCCAAACATTCGCCGCAAGCAGGTCCCCAGCCCTCTTTCCTGGGCCAACGTCACCTAACACATACCTTTTGTGATGATGGAGTGAAGTCATTACCCCTCACAGAGGACATCATGCTACATGTGCATGGTGCAAGTGCCTTTCTCGAGGTTGATAGCCTGGGACGCCGCTGGTTGCGTTTGGAGTTGCTTCACTTTGTCTCCAGCACGGACGGGGCCGTGCGTTTGACGGTGTATGGACACCTTCAGCGAGATCGGAAGTACTACGCACAGGCCCTGACTTTGCCGTTGGCCTTGCAACAGAAGTGGCACTGCGCGCTGGAAAGTTTGGAATCAGATCCTTTGCAGGCCCGAGTGGCTTCATTTTTTGGCTATGATGCCATTGCATACTGTGATTTTCCCGTGGAAGGGACTTTCCAGGAGCTTGTGACCAAGGATCTTCGGCCTTGGTTGTTAATGGGCCAGGTAAAGGAGCCAGCTCCAAGCGCGCTGCGGCTGTGTCCCGCCCCGCAGCACTTGCCGCGCCGGTACCGTTTGGCAGCATGCACTCAGCCACTTCACAGCTTTGCCAAACTGGAGAAATTGGCGCCAAGCTTGCTGCGAGACTTCCTGGACTATCACAGCCTTTTAGGCATTGAACATTTTACCATTTTTGATGCTGATGGCACGCTGGCGGGCCCACTGGAGCGGTACAAAGAGACTGCAGCAGTAGAATTTGACTACTTGGACCACTGGCCAAAGCGGTTCGGTGCAGCACATGCAGAAGAAGGCGAACAATGGCGGCCTCTCCTCTTTGAAGTGGAAGCTGAGAACCACTGCCTTTGGAGATACCGTGGTCAAGCAGATTGGGCTGTGGTGCTGCACTCACCTGATGAGTTTTTGCACGTGCCCAAGTCGCCCGGTCCGAACTCCTTGCGACATTTTCTCGATGCCTTGGAGCCGAGATCCTCCATCGCCCATGTGGAGCTGCGGCAGATCCTCTTCGGTGGTGACGTGCAGCCGGCGACCACGCTGCCGGGCCGCTTCCGGTACCGGGAAGAAGGCACCGAAGCCACCGCTGCGGTGGCCCACACGGTGATCGTGAATGTGGACAACGTGGCACAAGCAGGCGTGCATCCTGCCAGGCCGCGACCAAGCCTGCCAAGCGAGACGCCTTTGCGGATCGTTCAGGCGGATCCCATGACTGACGTACGAGTGAACCACTATGTGAATGCACTGGGTCAGGAACGCTGTGGCCGCAAGCTTTGCAAGGTCCTGGATGAAACTGCCCTTTGGGCTGAGCACATCTTCGGAGAAATCATGGGGCCTGGGGGGTTGACCCTTTGCCATATGAGCATGTATGAGCTGTGTGACATGTTAGGTTTTATTAGGTTTTCCATGTTTTGCTCCACTTCTCCAATCTCTCCAGTGCCCTGCACCGCCAAACACTGAGCTCTAAGACTCCAAGGCCTTTGTGGTGTACATGCTGACCATGAGCTGCTGGGCAGAAGAGGGGCAGGGGTTGGCAAGATCATGATCATGTGGCCTCATGCGCTAAGTGCAACGTTTGCTCTCGTTGGGTTAGAATCAGTCGTTTAGACTTCGATGGTTCATGCTTTGCCAGGTGAGATGAGCAGTGCTGTGCCAAAATACATCGAGCATTGCAAGTCCATTGGGCAGCAAGTGGCCAGCCCAACAGTCGCAGTCTCAGTCTTTTCCCGAACTGGATCGTATCAGGTTGGAGGACTGGTAGGTCTTGGCCCAAGCCGAGTTCACGTTCGGCCCGAGCCAGACAGCCAGACAGGACACATCAGAACACCGTCAAGACCGAAGTTGCAAGACTCGTTGTGAACCTAACATGCACGAAGAATGCAAACTGCAGTGTTTCCATATGTGAAACAACACATGTTTGATCCCAAACGATGCAATCAGATGTTATCATGTTACTGTTTATGCAAGTGTTCATGCACCCTTGAAGTCAGAGGCCGGGCCGTTCGACCGTGGCCTCTCCTCAACCCCCCCAAATCCTTCGAAGTGTACAGGTGATGTACGCAGTGCAGCAAAGAGATCCTCAGCGGCAGAAGTTCTTCCGAAACGACCACATCCAGATCCTGACGATGACGAAGTCAACGCCAGGGACAAAGGAAGTTGATTACTTTTTACTTGTAGTGGAAGTCGTTGTTCATGGGGGACATGTTTGTGCTTTACATTGCCTTATATTTCATGACTTCTTTTGTTTAGGTCAGTATGAATACAGTATTTAATCTTTGGATGGTTGTTTGCTTCCTTCCAGCCCATTATTTTCACGTGTCACCTTTGCCTTCAGGGTGTCAACGCCTCACTCATGTTTGTATCAAGACCGCTGGCCTCACGGTGGCGGAGATTTTGGAGACAAATATGGCAATATGGCTGAAACAATTATCGAGGGACAACACTTGGGATATCTTGGGGTGGGGAAGCCAGGATCTTGGTTGATACTGCCAGATCACATGCTGTGAAGAGCTGCTGCCCAGGATGGCAGTCTGTACATCGTCAGAGACTACTACGATGGCTACAAGTGGCTAGAGCCGCTATCTTGCAGCCAAGAAACTTCAAACTGAATCGCTTCCCCAATATACCATGTTACAACTACATGGTCGGGTCAGAGCATGAATCAAGACAAGAATGATGACAGGGTAAAAGTATGCAAAAGTCATTGCCTGGAATAGAATGCGACCGTTCTTTATGTGGAGTCACGGAGTCACGGCCATGTTTTCCTACATGGTTTTTCACGGCCCTTTGGATCCCTTTGGCAGTTCGCCTTCAGTTGGAAGACGCAAAAGTTCTCCAACTGCTGCAGATTGGTGCGGTCTCCGCTTGACGTGCTTAGCTGGATCGTTGACATGACCAGCTTCCGTGCCGATGGTCCTTTTGGCCAAGCAGAAACACTTGAGAGAGGTGGAACACATCAGAAATCATTCTCTTACCAGGTGGCTGCCACTCAAAGAACTTCAGAGAATTCCCGAACTGTGTTTTCCCTGCGGCCTACCAATCTTCAAGAAGAAAACGTCAAAGGGAAACGAAACTTCATTCGGCCACGGTGGCCGTGGGAGGATGGTCTCAGGCAGAACACCGCCACGGATGCGCGGGTCATGGCCTGGTGGGACTATGGCACCTCGGTGCACCGGTCACGGGGTCAGATGGGCAGCGTTTTTGGTTGGGCTCCATCTCTAACATCAGAACCTATGAATGGATTTGTGTTAAGGTCCTCCAAATGGTGGATGTTTGATGATGTTTGAAGCATCACCATCAAGCCATCATGAGGCCAACACAAAGCTTGTGGGGCTGAGATGCTCCAAGTTTGACCAAGACCCGGTCGGCAATTTTGAATTGAAGTCAGCTAGTGCTGGTTTTGGAATCCCGGAGTGTTTCTTTAGAGTTGTTGCACCAGCCTTGGAGTTGTTGAACTTGTCCAGACGCACCATCCAAGTCCCAGACTGGCCCCGCATGGACGACTTCCCATTGTCCCGCAGGCTATCAGATCACTGGCATTGCGAACAGGAGCGGATACGTTGATCGGGCGCAACCAAGCAGGAATTGCAACCATTTGACATAGTACGCCATTTGGCAAATTTGTTTTGGGTGCAATGCAAACATGCACTCACTCACACATAAGGATATTTTTCATCACATTCAGGTCCCAAAGACTGTGAGAAGTCATAGGGCGGTTCCCTGAAGCGGATTGGAACCGCTCATTGGAACCAAGAGTGTGATCTAAACCAAAAGAACACTCCGGAGAACCACTCCCCTTCAGGTGCGACCCCCCAAAATCGGAGACTCGCTGCTCCGCTTGCTCCGTCCGGAATCGATCCAGGACCTCGATCGCGGATGGGAACACCTGGAACCACGAGCACATCGCCACCTTGGGCCGGACCCTCACCAGCGAGGCACGTGGGGTAGCCACGCATGTGTTTGATGTTCTTTTTCGCTTTCTTGCTTTCGCTTTCTCGCGGTGCATGTTTTCTGGGAAGGGTGGCTCTTTTGTCAAATGCTTGTTTTTGACAGTGGGTAGTGCTTGCGTGCTGTTTTTTCATGTTTTTGGTTTTCAATAGTTTTTTGGGGGTGGCAGATCCATAGAGGGTGAGGCAACCACGTATGATGGGAAAGGTGTTCGGCAGGAGTGTTGATGTTTGTTCTTCTTTGGATGCTTTGCAATGCGCACGGTGGGAGCTACTGAGCTACTGCTGGAGCCAAGCAAGCATACTGGAGACAAAGAATCAAGCATACGGAGCCAAGCAAGCGAACGAACAGAGAGGTGACCACTCCGAGTTCACGGCCCCCTCGCCATGTGACCGTCAGAGTGAACTCTCCGCCGTGGAGAAGAAAAACCGTCCCTCTTTTTGTACCAACAAACGGGGTGACGGGCTTGGTACCAGGTAGATATCATTGTACATTGGTGCCTTGGAGCTACAATATGTCAAGCACAATGTAATCCATGCATGGCATGCATCATCATCTAGCCTAATCCTTGCCCCTCATTGGCTAGGGAAGACCACATCAGCCGGAGGGAAGGTTCTCAAAGCTTGTAGTTGGTGTGTTCCTCCAATGTTGGCTCAGAGTCCAGGTGAAACGTGCACATAATGTGATTCGGCACTTGGCGGACTATGTGCTTGTTTGGGGCGGCGGCCAGCAGCTCGTCATTGTCCAAACTTGGCAACGTGAAACCTTGTTCACAGTGCAAGAGTTTTGACTTGATCTTGGAGCAGTTGAATTGCAGTACTTTGTGTGGTAGAAACTATAAGCTGTTGGTAGGGCCTAGAGGCATGGGCGCGCGGCTACAAAGTGAAAGCTTTGTTCATCGCGTTTCATCCCTTGGGTTCACCGAGGCTTCCAGTTTGTTCATATAACTATCCATACTACGGAATATTTACCTACATTTAGATCTTAAAGAACATCACTTATATAACAAAAAACCACCAAATGTAGGTAAATCATGGTACTGTAAACGTTCCATCATGTTCGATACATGGATTGCTTGTGATATCCTTTGCGCCTCACCCATTCGACGGGTCCGGTCCCGAACGTTTGGTGCGCTCGGGACCGGCCCGAGGCGGGACGACTTGGGAAAGTCCCCACACCTGGCCAGGCAGGGAGCGTTTGGGTATGGGTAAGGGGGAGGGAGAAAGATGATGAAAGAGCTGAAGGGAAGGTGCCAAGGAGCCCTTTTGGAGGCATTCTCAGAGGCTTTCAGGACTCTTCCCGCGTCATCGGTGCCGACTCAGACGCCTTCCCGACGGACCGGACCTGCCACATCCACCTGAAGAGACTTGTGACCTCGCAGGATTGGGAACTCGGTCTTCCCGGATCACTGCGGGGACGACGACCCCAAATGCAACAAGTTCGGCAGGGACGCCCAGTCGTCCGATCGGTGTGAAACAGCGGGGAACTGGCGCAGCTGGGCACAGCTGGGCGCAGGGCATGGGGATTGAGGATGTGAAGCTGCGCAATAGATGCCTCATGCCCTTCCCCCACAGTGCGGTCAATTTTTGGTCAATGCACATTTGGTTTTCCCACAAGAGCCGCCTACGTTCGGTCCGCGATTTCAGAGAAAGAGAGACTCTGCTCAGAAACGCTACAACAAGCTTCTCAGGACGGAGAACTCGCAGCTTCTCGCAACTCGCGCCATTGCTTGGCACTGAGGTTTCTATTCGAACAAGGTGCCCACGCCAATGATGGAGAAGCTGAGTTTGAAAGAAGTTTGCAGCTTCCACTAATAGGTACTGTAGGGCGTTTAGGACTGGAGTTACTGTCTCAGACGTGCAGATGGAAGTATGTTAAGACTGCTAGCAAGCCATGTGAGCTGAGTGATTACATGTCAATATGGCAGTGCCTGAAAGGCTTGAGCTGGTTTGACCCACAGATTACATGATTTACATGTTTATACCTCGATTTGGAGTGATGGGGACTAGAAGCACTGCCTTTCAAGGCTTCGATCACCGAGGAAGTCACTTCTCTATAAGCTGGTGGAGCACAACAACAAGGAGGGTGTTAGTGTGAATGAGCCTCTCGGCCGGAGGTCTTGTGGACAAGAATCATCATGGGCTACCATCGTCGGGGCCCGACTGTCGGTTGGTCTGCTGGTAGATGATGGAAGTGGGTGCCTCATAGTGTTCTGAGCATGTGAATGATGCAGTTCTCAATGCTTGGCTTGTGGCCTGTTTCTAAGGAAGCTGTTCAAGCACGTCCACACCACCAAGCACGGCCTCATGCTGCTCGGCGAAGCGACACCTATAGGGCCAGCGGCTGCCGGAACGGCTGCATGACTCGATCGAGTCATGAGGGCCCAGTACGAATCATCACTGGCAATAAAATCGCTATCCTTTGTACAGGCCTTTCCACATCTATGTACCAGGCATCATCATCCAGTAAAGACAAGCTGGCCTCAAGAAGTCTTTTTGGCCCACCAACCTGAAACCTTCAGGCGAATCTATGAGGTGCAGAATGTCTCCCAGGAGCCCGACAAGCCGATGCGCCCTGAAACCGATGTGAGGAATCACGATGGATCAAGCGCTTGCCCCATGGATGTGAGGGAACCCTCCTTCAAGAATGGATTGTCAAGTGAGAAGCGGCGACTCCCAGGTTTAATCAAGTTATCCTTCAACCAATTCAGAGAAAATAAGAAACGTGTGTGCCGGTGCCGCGTTGGATATTCTCGTTCCTGTTTCAAGCTGTCAAATTGCTGTTCGAGCTGTCCGATGATCGCTGATGAAGCCAAGCAAGCCGAGTTCCAGAGTCTGCCACAGGAGAGCAAGGATTGGATTGCCGATCCAAAGAACCGAATCTGCGATGCGCCGGGCAGTTGGTATTGCTCCTTCGTCGTACCGACCGACATCGACCGGACCGACGTATCGACGTGACCAAACCGGGCACTGAAGCACCGTGTGAGGCTGGTGGCCATTTTTTCGTTTGTAACGGGGGTGGTTGAGCCGTAGTTCTTCTGATTTGGATTGATTTGGCATGTTTTAGGATATTTTGGTACTGAAATAATTAATATCACCCAGACATGGTATGACTACGGATGGTCAGTTGAAGGTAACCATGTAACCAAAGAAGTATTCACGCAGTTAGAAGCCTCACAAAGCAAGTTCCCACCTGTTTTTTGAACCCTCGTTAGTCACTGAGGAAAACCATCGTTGGTAACGAAACCGGCTGGTGTACATGCACCATCATGCACCTGTCACATGGACTCTACGTGTTCAAAGATGACCAACAATGTGCGAAGCTGCGTGTGTCCTATAGTATACAGTGGTTTCAGAGGTTCGATGGCACAGACCCGGTTCGATGTCCTGAAAAGATAAGGGGTCCAATCATTGCACCACCGACCGACTGGGGGCCCTTGTGCCGTCCTCTCAATCCACATGGGCCGATCTCCGGGGTGTCCAGTCCTTTGCCGCCCGCCTGCCAAACGAGGTGTGGGTCAATACCCTCCAGCCCTCAACAAGCTCATTGCCAAGCGCCGGAACTTCGCGCAGATCGAGGTGCGTGACAGAAACGAACGCTTCCCCGTGACAGAAACGAGGGTCCCTGCCAATGTGGATCATCCATCCATGAAAGAGAAGATCTTAGAAGTTGGATCAAGGAGGCACAGGGAATTCCCACTTATGCATCCTTCTCATGTGATTGAGAGGAGTGAGTGGGGTCTTGAATTTTTCGTTGAGCACCACAAGTGCTTTAGATGCGCTAAAAAATAGCAGAAGTTACAGTATCAGTAAACCGACGCAGGCGAAGAACCAAGGTGAGTTTGCGACGCTAAGATATCACAGAGAGTTTTGACATGTTTTTACCCGGTACATGGAAGGCTAGCCTAGCTGCAGTATGTTCCTACAATTACATTACCAACTCTGTGAGAGGTGATCCATGACAAGGCAGCCCTCTCCAGCTACCCGCCGAATTCTGAGGACTTCAACAAGAAGGGTGAGAAAAGCGCTTACACCCGGCTTATCGAAAAGGAGAAGGGGGAGCTGTGAACCAGTGAACGACTTGTGTGAACAATCACGGTGCTTCAGCGAGCGCTTGGCATGGCAGAAGAGCGATGGTAAATTTGCTGATTTGTATACTGTACAAGGTTAAAAAAAAAAACACCATCCAAATCCATCCAACGAAACTCGGTCTGGGCATTAACAACGGCATTCTTGCGGTCAATGACCCCTTGGCCCCTTTGGCAGAATCAAGATGAATCAAGTTGACGTGAGGCCAGACTTGGTGCTTCCAAGCACAATTCCATCATTATTTTGGACTCATCAACTGCCATGCTGTTCCAAATGTAACGCGTGAGAACGATGTAGGCTGCGTGCAGAGCAACTCACCACATCTCGCCTTTGCGCAGAGAAAAACATGAGGCACCATTTGACCGAGGCTGGGTTGATCAATCCGTGCACAGAGACCTGCAAACAGGCAATGGTCAATGTGTCTCAACAATCAGGGCAATCAGGGTGTACTGTTTAGGTTCTGTTTTGATGGCAAGTTTTCAGTGCTCACTTCAAATGTTGACAGGCATGAAGGTGTATCAAGTATCGGATCGTTCTTCTTTGGCACTCCCTTGGGACTATACCAAACCGTTTCGATGAACCAGCAACTGTGCTGACATTTGCTGTGAAAGTTTCTCCCTTTTCTCAGTTACTGTATTTTTCTTTAACGATCATTGTTATTCATTCACTTCATTCCTTCCCTATCCTGCACAATGCAACTGATTCGGGGTCGGGAAGATGGTGCTGACCTAGGTAGGAGTCTTTCACACTTCTAGGTCATGAGCCCTCAAGAAGGGTCTAGAGTCTAGAAAAAAACAAATTGCTGTAGCATCCAAGTGGAATTGCTTCTCGTTCTGCATCGGCGTTTGCGCGATTCCAAGGGCCAAAGCGTGTTTGCGTTTCCATGCGCGTGAGGGGCTCCCTATTTCAACGCGATCTCGATCCGGACGATGTTGAGAACAGAGGGGCAGACAATAGTAGACAGACAGGGATAAAGTAGGTGCACTTTCACCGGTTGCTCCCACTAGCTTCCCCTCTTCTCCATGCGCAGACAACGATGCCAGCTGATGACTGGCTTGCACTGGCTTGTGTTTGTATATTTGAAGGTCGGGGATGGCTGTTTGGCTCGAGAAAAGCTGGCCAGCTAGTCCCAGAATGCGGTAGTCAACTCCAAAGTCTCAGCAAAGTAGGCTGACTTGTGACCTTCGAATAGCTTGTGACTGGTTCATGGTCTCCTTGCGCTTGGGTCCCCACGTTTGGTCACACAGTGTGTCACCAACTTTCTGCTTGTTTGCACGTGACTGACGGGAAGAACGGAACCCAGAAACGACCCATGCTGCCCAAGGGCAAAACGATGGGTTTCATCCTGGTAGGGAATTCCTCACAGTAACCCGGTCTTCAGTGGATTCTTCAGTCAAGCCCTCAACTTGGTTCCAAGGCCAACCCCCAATCAAGGAAATGCGAGCCGCTCGAGGTTGATGGCGCACCCCGACCAGACCCCTAGATCCATCGGTTGTGGGGCACCCGACCAACTGCCTTACCATGCCTCAGACTCACAGGCCCTGCACTGTACCCTCACAGGGGCCTCACCAACGTGGCCGAATCTTCCCATCTCCACTGCCATGCCATGCTTTTGCTGCCCAAAGCTGCGGTGGAAAGAAATGCTCCTCGTGCCGACGGAGGCAACCGCGACGGCCAAAGGTGATGGCCTTGCATTTGGATGCCTGTTAAGCCTATGGCACACAGAATGGGGATGTTGAGAATTGTATAGAATTGATGAGGCTTAAGTTACGTAGATTGTTTTGGTATACGGTATACAGTATACATGTTTGACACCTTTCACATCTCATTAAAAATCTGGTCTTTGCTCATTCTTTAAGACTGGCCCAATCAAATCGGGACAGGCGATGCGTGTGTCCAGGCGTGAATGTCTTGTTTTCTCAAACACCTAAACGCGCACTCCAGTGGCAGGTCGGTGGTCCTTGCTCGGGTATTTCGCCGCTTGGAAGAGAACTGGGGATGAAAGCCGAAAGCCTTGAGCCTTCGTCAAGTTTGGTAGCGGCTGTATAATTTTGGATGACATCCTGACATACCCTGGCTGATTGTGGGGTTCATAACAGGACATCTACTTGGGTGGCGCTCAATGAAACTGAAAATTGGAGAGGCAGAGGTTTGAGCACAGAACCGTGCGGAAGGCCAAAAGCATTTCAGGCTGGATATTTTTGGGTGCTTGTTCAGGTCCAGTGGAGCTTTTCAGCGGCACTTGCCCATGTCGGACCACTTGCAGAATCATTCTGTTGGGAACTGCGGACACTGCAAACACTTCCACCACTCCAGTGTCGTGATGTTCTGGCAGTCTGTCAAGGGAAACACATGTGTGATGCAGTCTGTCAACTATAAAGTTGCAATCCATGATATTCAATGCCTTGTGCATTTGCTTTGTTTTTTGCTTTGGGAAGGGTTCAGCCGCAGCCCTTCTTTACAGTATTCTACAATGGCAACGACGGCTCGATTTCACATTGGCCGCAAGGGCGTGGAATGAGTTTTAACAGTAGTTGACAGAAGAACAATGAAGGAAAGATCCTTGCCCCTTTTGCTCAGGTGAACCCTGGTACACAGCTGCATTCTGTGCAGGAACAAGTACAACAGTCCTGTCCAGAAACAGCTGTACACGCTTTAGGCGACCAACTTCTAGTTGTTGGAATCTATGTTTACATTTTGCACCTCATCGCTCCAGTTCTTCTTTGAATGGAGCCACTGTACAAGAGAATGGCGGAAGTGCAACATAAGTTTGAAACGTGACTCCTTCAAAGAAATGTTTCCTAAATCAGCTTCGACTTTGAACTCACAGGACTCCTGCATCTGAATTCTTCAAACTCGCAGACTTGCTAAGGGTTCCGAACAGCTGGATCAGCTGGGGCGGACCAGTGGACAAAGCGGCTTGGTGAGCTGTTATTGTTTTTTTTTGTTTCCTTTGCCATTGTGAAATGCCCACCACACATCACCACACCATGCTATATAGTATACATATAGTTACGTTACATATCGTTAATATTGTTTATTGTATGTGTTTAATGCACATTTGTTTAAACGTGGTTTTTCAAATGGAGGTTGAGGTGGCATGATTCTGCAGACTTGGCAAGCAAGAGGATCATGATGGAACCTGTGGCAGATTGGACTGATCACTGATGTCGCCGAGTTTGTACATCGACAGCGTCTATCTGAGGAGAGTCCTTAATCAAAGAAGGCGCCAGAGGTGGTGACTTTCTGCTCTTCCATCACAGCGGAAGCTCCTTCGCCTCCACCTATTCCGTGCCTTGGGCATGCTGACCGCGCCAAGAATCATCCAAGGCTAAGACGAAGTAGCTAGCCGTCTCGCCCATCTTGCATCCAGTCATTTCTCCCCACAATTCACCCAGTTAAATTTAACAACAAGAAAAATCAAGGGCCATCACATGCCACATGCACCGCATCCAACGTTTGAGTCAGACGAACTTAGGGGCCTGTTCTCTCCCCCCCGTCGGTCTCACAACTCCTCGTCCCACGCTGGCCCCACGCTTCGGCCCCCTCTCCACACAGTGCCCCCGCCTCCCGACCTTCGGACCTCCGGCGGAGCCCACGCGACGAGGTGGTCCACAAGATTGGCGAAGGTGGCTTCGGGAAAGTCTTCGCCCCACGGCTGGGATCCGGTGCATGGGCACCCCGAGTTCCTCCATTAAGCACCCCATCCGGTGACTCCTGGGAATTGGATCATTGAATGTTTCAAGGGCAGGCAGCAGTCATTGTTGAGAGAAAGGAGGGGGTCCACGACAGAACTACATGACGCCACTGGCAGAGCAGGTGGAGCCTGTGAAACGGTGGCGGCCAATGGATCATGAACACGATGTGCATCACGTGTTAAAGTCGAATGTCGCCGCATGTTGACAACAAGGTCGCGCACCTGTGTCTTTACAATTGGGATTTGCTCTCATTATTTCATGTCATATCGCCATTCTCTATGGAATTCACCTCTTCTAAATATATACAGTACATGTTGCGAAAGTCCTAGCCCGAAGGAGATTTGTCATCTTCCAGGACAACATGTTTGCCGGCCATAGCCATAGCCATGTATACGGACACACAGGGAGAAAGTTGCAGAATGCACAGGAGTTGGTGTTCACCCTGAGCTCAGTTGAGACAGTACAATTAAGTAGTTCAGGGTTCAGGGATGATTCTCCCCCGAATTTGTGCGAAGCAGATGTAGATGTGTGACCAAAAATTGTGGGGACAAGAAGAGCGGGTGTGAAGTTTACAAACTTGTGTCTTGAAATGTCCTGAAGTATTGCAAGCACGTTGCACTCACGCTCATGGGAATGGCAAGCTTTTACATCTCCCAAACACTCCATGCGTGGAAATTCTTACATCTACGTACAGTACTGTAATTACCCAGATTGACGCATGAAACATCTTAAAGCCAGCCAAATGTAGGTCTGTAGGTCAATAGGTCACTCAAGACTCCATCCATGGATTGTTTGGGTCGTCACACATTGGGACTGTTCTTGCTGGATCCGTTTCTGTCGATCTTCCCCACCTAGGCTGCGACCCATCGGACCACGGGCATCATGCGTGCCGTGAAGCGGCTCCGCAAGGCGGGGGATGCATGGGGTTGCAATGCATGGTGCCTGTGTTGTTTTTTGGTCTGACCAGATCCGACTTGTGAAGCAATTGTCAGGTGCCTGGCAGACAGGAGTTGCATAAGAACGAGCTCAATGCGCTCTTAGGGCTCGACCATCCGCACATCGCGACTGACTTGAGATCTTGATTTGGTCCAAATGTTGTTTTCCTCCCGGCTGCCTAGTCATCATCTAACATATCTATATAATATATATATATATATACAAATATAGATAGTCATTTATAGTCATTCGTTGGAGGAAAGGCCAAAAAGCCAAGGAAACTGCCGGCTTCTTCGATCTCTGTCTCCGTTTGCCACGTATACGCCACGGGGATAGGATGGACACGAGGGGCGCACACCACTTCCAACGCTGAGGTGAAGCTCTTGGAGTACTATGATGAAGAGGAGAAAATGGGGGGTCGACCCAGTGAATCCTTGTAGTGAATGGGCCATGTCATTGAGAGAAACACTGACACTTGCGGTTTCCACGGTGTCGGTGCCAGTGCCGTTCAGCACGGACTCTATCTGTCGGCTGTGGATCCAACAACCCGCTGGATGGACCGGGTCGAGGGGTTGTTATATACCAAAGAAAAACATGAAAAACGGGTGGCCAAATGCAGTTACTAAAGAACCACTCAGTTTTTCTTGGGCCCCAAGGCCCTAAGCCACAAGGGACTGAGGTCACCAGATCTATACCGCCTATAGGTCCTAGGTGTTTTATACCTGGGCAGTAGCCTATGCAGCATTGTCAAGGCTTCCAGGATATATACAGTACATTACAGTACCCTCAAAAGGTTCGATTGTTGATCGATTCCAGGGAACTATCCTTTGGCTGGGAAACGCCTCGCTTCATCCCCCTTGGGATCAGAACATACACGGAAACGCCTTGGCGCTCGATGAGATTCAAACCATGGGGTCCGACATCATGTGTTCTTTGGCACTACTTCTCAATGATATAAAGTGAAGTAAATATAAGGTCATCGGTCATGAGTCGGACCATGGAGTGTTCATGTTTGGCATGGTCTCGACGGTCATGGTCGCCGCGAGGAATATCTCTACTTGGTCTTCGAGCTTTGTGAAGGCCTGGACCTCCTGGAGACCATCCGCCGGTCAAAGGCTGGCAGGCAGGGCCTGGCAGAGCCCAGAAGGGGGGGTGACTTCTCAGAGAGAGAGAGAGAGAATATATATATATATATATATATTTGATCTATAGATGTCTATAGTGTTTCGCCTTCAAATATGTTTTGGAAATGGTGTTTGGTTATGTTTGAGAAGTTCCATTACTCACATGAGTTTGGCCAATTGGATTATATACACATTATTCCGACCATGAAAGCATTTTCCATCATTTTCCCACGGAAACATGGGATATCCAAAACGTCGCGAGCAGCTACTCCTTTGGATCATTCTGTTGACATCGCACTACCATCCATCCCGCCAGCTCTCGTCCTCCAGGCTTGGTCAACTGGAGGCTTCGGTGGTGCTGCGGCACATGCTCAAGGCATTGCAGTGCTGCCACGCACAGTGCCCAGACCGAAAGGATCAGGGAATGTGAGCAGTGTGGCTTCAGGAAAAATGTCTAAACCCATAGACACCACGGGTTTGTTGCGCATTGTGCGGCATCTCCTGCAAACAGGAAGCCCGATTGCAGTGCTCATTGAAACTCATTGAATGAAAGCGGTTCTCCCCGATTTTGGATGCGCACACTTGCGGTCCTGGGACGCTTCTACATCACCCCTTGCCGTGTATTACGGCGGGTATGAGTAGAGTAGGTGAAAAGATAATGAGAAACCTATGCTTTTCTACCACCTATGTACACACGAACGAGTGGGCATCAAGTACAGCAATGAGAAATAGAGAACGGGTGCCCCGACATGAACTACACAAGTTCCCCGATTTGGGATTGTAAAGCCTCTTCATATGACGAGTTTTATCAATCAGGAGTCTGCGTTGTGTGAGTTTGAAAGCTCAAGTTGTTTGATGTCATTCCGTTTTCGACCAGCAGGGTGGGTGCTATGCCCTTTTGGAGCAGGTGTTTCTTTTGGGAAAGGTCCGATGAAACATGCCTAACCTCCTTCCCACTTGGCAGATCACCTTGAAGCCTTATTTGTGAAGACTCGGTAAGGATTCCGGTTGGAGAGGAGAGAACGGAAGGGCAAGATTGATTTCGCAAATGTGTGTGTGGGAACCTCCTAATTCTGTAGTAGATAAGGCAGTAGCCAGGCATGCTTTACATCTTTGGAGGGGTTATGTGTTTGTCAGGGAGGGGTCTCTTTTTGAAAGTCAATACCAGGTGAAAGTTCAACCTCACAGGTCATTTGCCAGTCTGGACTTGATATTCAATTTGGCCATTGTCGTTTGGCAATTGCTAAATAGAATGAACTTGTTTGATATCAATTGTTTTATCGTATAAATCAAATCCTTTGCATTCATATGATATTCCAACTTACGGAGCACTATGGCTTCAAGTACATTCTGACCAGTTCCTCTATACCGTCTATACCCGCTGGACGCGACCCCGACTATACATGACTAAAGCCAAGTTGAAGCCAGTGATGATTTGTGTGTTTCTGTGCATATGGATGGCACGGCACTGCCTTGCCGAGGTATAGGGGGCATTATGCAGCTCGGCTCGCGGTCTCGGTCCGTCTCGGTTATGCTCGGCCCAACCGGAGCGAGGACCTTCAATACCGAGATCGGGGTCGGGTGGTAGGACAAGGCCCCAATCACTTGCGCACCAACAATGCCACAGGCTGGCCCTTGTAAGGACCCCTTGGAACGGAGAGTGTGCTGGCCATGTAACATACCAAGTACAGTAGTTGAGCAGTTTGAGATTGAGGCTCATTGCCGGGGGTGTTCAGGAGCCAGGGCAGCTGTCTTGAAACAATCCCCTTCTCATCCCCGTCGTCCCTTCACAGGTCATGCAAGACATTTGTCGATGTCCCGTTTTTTTATATGGTGGCTAGTAGTGGCCGTCGGAACTGACAAGACTTCAGTGGAAACTGGGGGAGTAGGACTAGGAGCAGCTCGAAGGATAGCAATGTTGGGGCTATGATCTATGCAGAACTCACTTGGATAGTCATGTGCCGCGATGTACTTGTACCATGATCGAGCGATGGATCAACCATCAAATTGTCCACACACTTGAATTGTTTTGCTCCTGTCACTTGTGCCGCGTTTGATTCCCCACATGCAGGCACAGTTCTCCGTTGATTGGGTACATTAATTGAGGGTGCCCGCAGAGACTGGGCCAAGGTGTGTCGACAGTTTAGGATAGTCTACAGACCTTGTCTCTCCAGCCGCTTTCGCAGCCCGGGCACTTGCTTGCTCGAGCATGCATCAGCAGCCAAGGACATAAAGCCCGAAAACTTCATGTTTAAACGTGACTTGGCTGGACAAGACTCGATACGAAGCGGCCGCATGGACGCAGAGCAGATCTAGTATATAATTTGTAATTTGTGATATCCAAAGGGGTGGATGTAGGTTGTTGAAGGGGTGAGGGGCCGCTTATGCCCATGAGTGTTCTTGTTTCTTCTTATGCACACATGTTATTGTACATTTATGCACATGTAATCGTGTGAGAGTCCGTGGCTTAGACTTCCATCTACTTGTAGAAGTTGACCTGCGGAGGAGTGCGTTTCAGAACATTTGACCTTAAACAAATTGCGCATTCACGTCGTGTTTCCATTGGTTTTCAGTTCAAACTCGAGTTTTGCTGTAGCAAGATACGCATGTGCATCAAAAGTCCTCACCTGAAAATGCACTTTTATGGGGACCCTTTCCCGTGCATTTTGATATTTCGCTACAAGGAAAAGCAAACTCGAAAAAACTCTAGTGACAAGCATGTTTGTCACTCTGAGACTGTGGGATTTTCTTGCAAGCACCTACAACGGAACGTATTGCCCCCCCCCAACCCTAAAACACCATTTTTTCACAGCGTCTTTGCATGTGGCATCATCTTCCAAGCATATTCAACACACCACCAACGAGAGCAAAAATTCCGAAACGCAAGAAACTTCCACAAACTGCGAAGAAGTACGAAGAAGAAAGAGGTTGCTCTGATTCAACATAACAAAAGGGTCATTTACAATGAACATGTAAAGGTGCTGACTTTCATGCCAGGTGCAACAACATCGGACAAACTGATCGGGGTTAAATGCACGACTACTAGCGGTGGTTACCCTGCTAGCAAAAACATGCGCTGGCTTTCTGTGCTTTTGCTCAGACGTCGGAGTGACTGGGCTTGCTCCTTTTCGGCGCCACGGGCCGATGGATGGACAATGTCAATTTGCTTCACGCTTAGCACATGATTTGGGCGCCTCACACTCGGCTCACTGAGGTGAGACGAATGGGGATATCGCTCATGCAAATCTGAAGATGCTTGCTTTGCAGATTTGGTGTGTTCGCTTTTCTTCGGTGCTCCGGTCATTGCTGGGAGCTTGGAGTGGTTTCTTCTTTGAAGCTGGAGCTTCCCCGGTTCGGTGGCCACCGCTCCCAGGTGTAGAAACCTGTTTGGATTGGTTTGGAGAGTGAACTTGGGCAAGTGCCATGAGGCTTGTTGGGATATCCTGAATGTCCTGGAATCCTTTGGAACCAGAACCCTGCTCAGTGTTGAACCAAAAGATTATTCTCATGGCTTCAATTCACTTGGGCAGGTGTCGCGTGGCCCTAGAGGTTTGGCAGTTTCAAACTCTAATTCTTGTTTCAAGACTGTGTCCTCCTGACCTCACACGTTGCCGCCAGGATGGTTGACTTGGGCCTCAGCAGCTGTTTTGATATGCATCGCGAGAATCGCATTTCTGGAACCACGGCATCTCGGTTTGGAGTTCGGGAGGTCGTGGGCCTGGCCGCGGTACCCCACAGAGCATGGCCTGGCTGGGCCTGGCTCGCCGGTGACACCGAACAGTTGTGCCTTCTTCAGGCCTACATGGCGCCCGAGTTCTGGAGCGGCATCTACGGCCCTGAAGGCGTCGCGGGTGGGATTCAAAGGTTGTACATGCTAGAGAGGTGCATGACAGTAATCGGTACAACCTTGCAAGAATCCAATTCAATACAAGGAGAATCCTTGATGATCGATGGCAGCAATACCAGAACCGGATTCTTGTTGGAAATTCATCCAGGCTTTTTGGGGTGTTGCGAGCATGTTGAGCAGGTGATGTTTGGAGCTGTGGTGTGGTGCTCTTCGTCATGCTGACAGGCCGGGCGCCGTCTGGTCGTTTCCCCCAACAAGTCGCGGGGGCTTTGTTGGAATTTTATCCCAGGCGTTGTTGGTCTCTTCTTGGTGCTGGGATTAGATGCCGCCTTGCGTGAGATTGTTAAGGCTAAGAGGATCTAAGAAGATTCTTTGGACCTTCCTGATGATTGAAATTCAATGTGCGAAACCATTGTTTTGAATGGCTCCGCCGTGATTGTCAAAAGATACCACTGCAACGATGGAGCCACATGATGCAACATGGAAGTTGAACAGACCTGTAGCAGAAAGTGCTTTGGTTTCTCGAAGGGAGGTAAGAGCTGTCAGGAACGCCTTTGCTGGATGACATTTCGCCCGCCACGGTCAAGCGTGACATGGCTGCAGCAAACGTTGTTCTGAAGTCACCGGATCGGCGGTGACCCTGTGAACAGTAGAGGGTACCAAAGCTGCTGGTCATGTCATATCATGTAGCTCTGGAGCCAGTGGAACCAGCTCAGAAAGAGTTGGACGACTAATGACAACTACGCAGTTCCTGGATGGTGCAAATATGTGCAAATGTCAAGATGAGCCATTCTCGGATTCATAGGAGGGTCATGGAGGGTCTATATACATATGTCAGAAATTCATAATAATTCTACTTAATGTAGGTATGCTTGAATATCCCGACGTGTTCACTTTAGACACCGGGACGTTTGTAAAAATCACAAGGTTTTTTTGACGGTATATGTTCTTTTGCCCGACGATTATTGCGGGGTGGGTCTCCAGATAGTGTCCTTCCCGTTTGCCGCCTCCCAGCGAAGTGCGAAGTGCTCCATCTCAAGCTTTTAATCTCACTTCCAGTGGTCTGCCAAAAGCTGCACACGGGTCATCACATCAGACATGGCGGTTCGCAGCCACCAGCTGTAGATGTAGACCCTATCGATGACAATGTTGTGACATCCATGACAACGTTGTGACATCGATAACAATGTTGACGAACCTTCCAAGATACGTATGCCTTCTGCCTGTCGTAATTCCATGTGATTCAACAAAAACCAGACGAAAGTGCGCGGCAGGGACGCACCCCTACCGCGCAGAAATGTCCTTGGTGACTTGGTGACCACCACAAGTGTGTAAATACCATTAAATACCATGCGAATATACACAGTGGCAGTGGCCAAATGCATTGAGGTCTTAAACACTCCCGCCTGATATATATATATATATATATATATATATATGAGCGTCGTTCAAAAACCCACCTCTTCCTTGTTAGTGATCGAATTTCAAAGGCTGATTTCGAGTGTGCTCTCACTGCAGTCGCGAAAGGTTCGCGAAGGTCCTGCGAAAGGTCTGCGCAAGTCATGTTGGTGACCTGGCCACGCTGCAAGAACAATTGCTCTTCAGACTTCCGATTGCTTTTTCCCGGGTTGGGAAAAAGCAAATTGGAAATCTGAAGCAATTTTGCTTTTTCCCGGGCCGGGAAAAAGGCAAATTGGAAGTCTGAGCCTTTTGCTTTTTCCAGGCCTGGGAAAAAACAAATTGGAAGTCTGAACCATTTTGCTTTTTCCCGGCCCTGGAATTGTTCATGGAGGGCTGGGCGCAACCAAAACCGGAAGTCTTGATCATTTTGCTTTTTCCCAGCCCGGAAAAAAGCAAATTGAAAGTGTAGGCCGGGAAAAAGCAAATTCAAAGTCTGAGTCAAATTGGGAAAAATCAGTTTATATCAGGGTTGCAAAGGAAAATTAAGGAGCTGTGGCCTAATGGATAAGGCGCTAAGCTCATAAGCAGAAGGTTGCGGGCTCGAATCCTACAGGTGCTGCTTATTTCCAGGCCGGATTCCAAACTGCAAGCTTGATACATTTTGCTTTTTCCCGGGCCGGGAAAAAGCAAATTGGAAGTCTGGACCATTTTGCTTTTTCCCGGGCCGGGAAAAAGCAAAATGGAAGTCTGAACCATTTTGCTTTTTCCCGGCTTGGAAAAAAGCAAATTCGAAGTCTGAACCATTTTGCTTTTTCCCGGGAAAAAGCAAATTGGAAGTCTGGCCGTTTTGCTTTTTCCCGGCCCGGGAAAAAGCAAATTGGAAGTCTGAACCATTTTGCTTTTTCCCGGGTTGGGAAAAAGCAAATTCGAAGTCTGAACCTTTTGCTTTTTCCCGGCCCCGGAAAAAGCAAATTCGAAGTCTGAGCAAACTGGCCTGACTGAGCCGTCTCTTGTTCATGGAGGGTTGTGCCCAACCAAAAACACACCAACATGAAAACTGCTTGGTTGGCTGGCTTCCTGTTCCTCAGCAATCAATGTGTCAGTGATCAGAGGACACAAGACGTGCCAGGGCAACTGCATGAATCCTTGAAAGCCTCTAGCCCCAACGAAAAACCATTTTCGCCGACAGTGGTAAAACCCCACGCGCGAAAGCTTGCGAAAGCTTCGCGAAGGTCCTGCGAAAGGCCTGGAAAAAATGAAAGGACTTTTGAACAACCCCCATATATATATACATGTATACATGCATGCATGCATCATACACAGTTGTGTGTGGGTGTGCGCGCGCGCACGTCGTTGTGTTCCACTGTTGGTGTAGCTCGGGGTAGCTGTTGGTGCTTGTAGCCCAGCTGCATGGAGGCTCGCCCAGCTTGAAGTCAGAGACTCGCATTCACCACAACTGAGGCAGTGAAAGAGAAAGTGTCAAAGGCAGGTCACTGCGGCAGGTCCCACCCATCTCGTGTGCAGTCCACCCATACTCCCTTTTAGTGACGGTTCTGAGGTGAAATCCTGGTGAGGCACTTGCTGCGTGATAGGATCACGAGTGCTGCAGAAGAGTCTCTCGGATTAAAATAGGTTGGCAGCTGGCACCATTTGGTGGACAAAACTGAATGGATTGAGCTGGTGCGGAGAAGATGAGAAATTCAATCAATTGCAGATCAGATTTGAATAGATTTGAACGTTTCTCCGAGAAAATTCAGAGGCCCGCGTGGAGGTTGACAATTGACAACTGACCCAACCACGGCAAACATGATGTGCTAAGGAAAGCGAGTTGTCCTGGAATGTTCTAGTTCCCCAAAGCTCTATCAACCCTTCGAATCCCTTCGAACCCTTGACCAAGAGCTTTCGTTCCAAGGTACAACCTTTCTGCCAGCGCACTGGACCTCTTGATGCAGATGCTTCAGCATGACCGCCCCTGAGCAGAGATCCAGTCGTCTACCTCGGCCTGTTTCCGGTTCGACATGTTGCCTCTCAAGACAACATGATGTATGAATCGATGGGTATGGACCTGGATGATGAGCTTGCATTTCCATCGTGTATCCAATGTATTTGACTCAGATCAGAACTGCCTCTCACTCAGGTCATGCACGTCCCACGATCAAGGAGGCGCTCAAGCATCGATTCAATCATGATGTCTATGAGCTGGAGAAGGCGTTTCTTGGCGCAGGCTAGCTAGACACAGGTCCTGTCACTGGGGAGGCCCCATGTGGGTTCGGCTCACAAAACTGTCTCTTCATAGGAGAACTCGCAGATTTCTCGCCCCGTGCGACATGATGTTTTCCATGCCTGCAGGTTGCACCATGCATGACGTACCAAAGCATCATCTAAGATTCAGCATCATCCACTGTTGCCTGCGTGGGGGCATTGTCTAACTACTTTGCGCCATACCGTCGCCCAAGGATGCCTTGCCCTGAGCGCTTGCAGGCAATGGAGCTCCTGCGGCAGCTGCCAGAGCTGGTCACACGGCAGCAACGGTCAGAACACAACCGGGACGGTAACGGAACGGTAGGAGTTTTAAGGAAAACATTACTGTACAGTAACTGTTCATCAACCTAAAGAAACACATTTCAGGGGGTTGAGCCAGCAAAAAGGCGGAACAAACAGGGTTTTAACATGTTTACAGTCTTGAACCTCCAAATGCCAAATGACAGTCTGCCAACCGCAACTGCAAAACAATTTCAGAATTCAAAATCGATAGGGTAAACACTTGTTCTGCATTCTTTCTCGTAATTGCAAGGTGGGACCGGACATTGGAAGCTGCTGTTTGGGCACGGTGCTGAAGGAGAACAATACTTTGGAAAGACAATGCACTTCAACAGGACTATCCCAAACCCATCCAAACCGTATAGAGATCATTAGAGATGCCTACTAGAGATATAGATATGCTTGATCCGGTTGCAGTGGGGTCTTTTGCCTCATGGAACAAGTGAACACATGATGTTTAGCCGCCAGTCGCATCATACCTAGGGCTAGCAGAGTGAATCTGTATTCTGTTTGTGTTGGCCCTGGTTAGTGTTTTGACAATCACAGATCTGGCGGTGTTGCGTCATGTTGACATCACTGAACCTCTCGGATGGGGGAGATGGCTTACCCATGCTCATCCAGCAGGTGAAATGCCCCAGACTTAAGCAGATGAGCCGGACGCCGTCCCAGCCACCAGTTCCTACCATTGGCCGGGGGTGAGGTCCGAGTGGTGCGGAAGGAGCCCATGCTGAAGCTTGGAGTGGAGATGGTTGGTCATGCACTGCTCATTGGTCATGCGCGCACTCGAATCCGGAGTGGATCTTGTATTCCCGGCTTCGTTTGGAATGACAGTGTAACTAGGTGGCGTTGGGGGAAACCATCCAGCGCACCCCATCGGGACCCATCCACCAATGCACAAAACCCGTGAACCGAGCCGGCTCCCGAGCCATCCATCAAACCCGATCAACCCAAGGAACCCATTCCTTTGCGATGTCTTGTTCATCCCCAGGAAGCGTGTGGCACGCTTGGCCATGGTCCACGTCAGTGAAGTGGAAGAGGCCACCTGTTTGGCCTTCCGGATGCTAGGCGCGCGGTGGAAACCCATTGAGCGGTCCAAGGAAAGACGCTTGAGCTTAGACCTGCTGGAAGAAGTGAATATTCTAAGTGAGAGCCGGACATGTAGAGAGTGAATGAGAGTGATGTAGAATGATGTAGATTGATACATATATATATATATTGTAATAAATGTAATACACACTTCCCTATTTGACTTAAATAGAACCTGAGAACTCGAACAACGTGTGTATAACATAACCTCAAAACACTATGTTCTATCTGCCAGGTTAGCGTAAATGATTTGACAAGGGTGCTAACGTATGCTAACATACATCTACAAGAATCACGCTAACGTGGAAGGCAAAAGAACCTCTCAACCAGCCTGTAGCTAATGAGTACCCGTGGATGGGTTGTTGCTCCTACAAGCTTTAACTAAGATAGCACTTGAGAATACCGATCCTGAAGTTTCACTAGCATGAAAGTTTTCTTTAATGCTCAGATTCCTGAGCAAAATGGCGGACAGTATGTTTAGATATTTATGTAATATATATATATATACATAGATAGATAGATATAGATGTCTTTTAATCATGCTGTTTCCTCGCTCATCCTGCCAGACACACACGGCTATGGGGAGTTGTCCATCTCAGCCTTGGAGGAGAACGACACGATTTGTCGCCGCAGATCTCAGTTGAGACCAACGGTCGGTCGTGTTGGGCTCCGGCTCCGATGTACTGACGATGTCTTGACCAGCTTGTATCATCGAGAGGTGCTTCTGAATGCCTTTGTGTCATTTTGTATCACCGCGGCGACCAAGATGACCACGCATGACACATGATCAAAATGGGGCCTGCCCCACCGCCCCTCTTGGGCCATGAGGCCCGCTCTAATCCACCCATTGGTTCCAAATAGAAGCAGTTTTGGAGTCCAAAACTCTGGGCGCCACAGCAGGCCTAGGGTCATGACTCCCTGGTGCAATGCCTCCACCGCCGAGAAGCCCTCCTTGGTCCCCGGGGGGTTCAATTTTCCAATTTAAGTTTCCCATTTCACTTGTATTTCACTCTGTGCAGAAGCCTGGCGAAGCATATCCCTTGAGTACTGCTTCTGGTTCCGCATCGCTCCAGCTCGCTCAGGCCAGACCGTGCCTGACCTGGATGCCTTGTTTGAAGCCATGGACCTGAATCGCGATGGCCACCGAACTGCAACGCGTCGCGTTGGGACCCTTGGGGGGCCGTGTCGAAGCTGGGCGGTGCGTGTCATGGAGACGTCTTGGGTCAGGTGGGACTCATCAGATGGACGATAGAAGACAAGGTCTTAGCAATTCAGGGTGTTTGAGAGCCCTGAGAACCACAGGTGGTTCTCCAGGAAGAAGCGCCGTGCACTAGATTATATTGGAGCATGTGGCAGCATGTGTATAAATAATCAAGAATAGTAGGTTGTCACAATGGCCAAACCCAAAGTTGCAAATGGCAGAATAGCGGCAATAGAAGCAGGCAAACTTCACATGTTTTGCTGACAAGCCGGTGAGGAGTGACTTGCACAGTTGTGTAGGGGTTCAAGACGTTGCCGACGCACGTGCTGCTCCGCATGGAATGACCAGAAGCTCGTTCCTTCCGCACGTCCGGAGATCACTCCGGAACGAGCCTTTTTTTGGATTTCTGACGAACAAGCCCCAGTTGTTTGAGGAGGCGCCAAGGTGTAATTAGTGTTTTTCATTGATCTCTCCAGCTTTGGTGAGCTTCTCAGAATCCAAGAGTGATCAAGAGTGTAGATAGCAGTCCCAACGACCCCTGAATGCTTCAAGAAGTGGTCTCCCCCCAACACTACCCCTGTCAGGAAGGTTTGGAAAACTATGAATATATTCTCCTCTACTGAACGCACGAGTCGCACTCGCCCTGTATCAATGATCAAAACCTGGAAATTAAGTCGGGTACAGAACCGGACAAAAGACATTGATGTATGGAAAGCATTAAATTTTGTCGATGCCGTTTTGGGCCAAGGTGCAGATTTGATGGTTGAGTTGCACGGGAATTAAAGGCTTGCCCTGAAGTGGTGATGACCATCATCAACATTGACACCAGTCCCATCATCAATGTTGGCATCCTTGGTGATGATGGGACTGATGCCAGCGTTGATGATGGGACTGATGCCAACGTTGATGTTGGTTCTGCAAGCGATGACGGCATGATGGCACGCCATTGATCCAGTCTGAGGACGATGCAGATGGGACAGTTTGACACCGAGGATGCCAACGTTGATGATGATGAGGATGGCACGCCATCGATCCAGTCTGAGGACGATGCAGATGGGACAGTTTGACACCGAGGATGCCAACGTTGATGATGATGAGGATGGCACGCCATCGATCCAGTCTGAGGACGATGCAGATGGGACAGTGAAACATGGTGATGAGGTTGAACCACCGAGGAGAACCGCTATGCGGATTTGTCTTTGGATGAGGACACGTTGATCAGGAACGGCAAGCACGTTTTAGTGGCCTACATCATGGCAATCTGGACGCACCCCAGATGACGCCGCGCAAATTGTGGAGAAAAAAGGATGTGATGTGCATTAAAGTCTGTGGGTGTGGTGTGGGTTTGGCCTTTAAACTTTATGCATACTCGTTCAAGAGATTAGGCGCATTATTCGAGTTCAGACAATATGTTTCTCCACGTGCCTCCCGAATCAAGCAATCTCAATGAAGTTTATCCTCCTTTATCCTCCTTTGGAATTATTGATGTGATATGTGCACAATGGCAGATGGAGATACTGAACAAATTTCCAAATCAAACGTTTGCTCAATATTGATTTGGGTTCTCAGGATCAAACATGATCAAACAGGTTTTCAGTGGTTCTTTCCTCTAGCGGCATGTGGGTCGGTAGGAATTGGGGGAGGAGATGATGCGCAACCATTGAAAGGGAACATCCATCCCTTCATCTCAGGCTACATCAGCTACAGGGCCTTCCTGGCGGCAACTTATTTGCGAAGCTGCGAAAACCAGAAACAAAACAGTGGCGGGTGGGCGATACGAGACCCAGCCCATTGGCCTAAGCCCTAAGCACGTTATTTCAAGACTCATTTGAAGATCGTGTGTTCACATAAGTTCCTACATAATAGCTTGGTTTCAGACGGTCGGGCCTAATAGGGCCTCCAAGACCCATCATTTGTGCCTCCAAGACCTATCGCGAGGGCAGTCTCGAGGTGACTTTGCCGGAAGATGTTCGCTGCAACGCCAGCAACCTCCAGGCGCGAAGCTCCAGCAGCCTGTGCCAGAGATGAACAACTCCACTTGATGTCTTGAGTCTCTACCCCATCACGGATTTGGTGCCAAACCCAAGCTGTGGCGGGAACGACTGCAGTATGTGTTGTTTTGTTCGGGATTGCAGCAGGTTGGAACAACCCTGTGAAATGAAACGCCATGAGATTTGCGGCTGCACACAACTTGCACCCTGTCTAAAGTAAGCGCGGATGTCGACTTCGGGTCGATGCAACTCTCGCAAGCCAGGTGACCTTCAATGTTTTAGATGCTGACAAGGCTGGGAGTTTCTGAAACCATTGGATTCAACATCATGAATTTGTGGCCACAGTCCAGACCCTGCAACCCCGCAGGACGGCTTGATTGGGCAAGCAGACTTGGCCGAGGCGTCTTTGGGCGCACCAATACGCGGCCCATGGCTACCCCCCATGAATACCCCCCAAAAATTAAATATAAACTCTTTGCCGCCTATCGGGGGTGGATGATGAATTTGTGTTGAGTCTTGATCCCCTATCAAGCCGTTGCAATCCGTGGCATACAATGAGCATTGTCATCTGCAAAATGTTAATGGTGCTGTAGCGCCGTGCAATTTGTTCCCACGATTTTGCCGTCAAATTCTACGTTTTTGAAAATAGCAAAACTGCATGGTCCGAGGAATCTTCGCCGCATGTACTGCATAATCAACTTACGGAGCTCTGGATGTCCTTTGATTCCATGACCATGGCCAATTCTTCTAGGAAATTCTTCCCATTGTGTAGCGTAGCGTAGAAGAGTTTCTAATCAGTCTACCTTCTAATGTATTAGTGTACACTTAGAACCAAATGTCAACATCCCAACCCATCCCACCCCCCCACCCCACTCAAAGTCAATCGCATTATGTAGCGTGGTATAGACCGCATGCAGCTTTCAAGAAGAGAGCTTGAAAAGAGAAACACTTTTCATACTTCATAACATCTGAGAAAAAACATGAAAATTGGAAGAAGACTGAACTACGTGCGACAGCAGATATGAACATCGCAAGAAAACCACATGGCGCAGCGAGGGTCGTGCTCCAACTACATCCCACGCTCCAAGATGCCCAGCGCAAACAAAGACGATGTTTCAGATGCACAAACAAGATGGCCCAGGAATCATGTTCAGACGCGCGGCTGTTCGGACAGTCTGCTCTACCGTTCAGGAACTAGGACCTGAAGACCGACAAACGAAACAGCTCCATGCGTGCCATCGAACCGTTCAGCTGCGGCCAGGTTTTTGGGCACGTGCCGGATAGTGAAGTTTGCAGCCTCACCATTCGAGAGGTTTCAAAAGACGCTGAGCTGCGAGGGGATGCGTGGGTGGAACACCGGCACTTGGGGATGAGATTTGTTCGATGCTTCCAGTCCTGCCAAGGGTCACACAGGATCTCGACCCAAGGACGTGATTGGTGTGCCGGCGCCGCCCCCTTAAAAGCCTGTCTCATGCCTGCACCTTGCCTTTGCCAAGCAGAATGCTGCAAATGCATGAACTACTTTGCTGCACATATACATGCATTATGCACATTGGCATTCCTATGTGAAGGCATGGACAAACAATTATCATGTTCCTATTCTTCTTCGATGCGAAAAGTATCAGTTTTGTGGGCAAAGTCAATTTGTGTTGCCTTTTTCTATCAACCCTCACTTTGGGTGTGTCTGGAAACGAAGGAACCTGTGACCTGCAGGTGTTGGAGTGTGTGTTCTTTGTTTTTTCTGTTGGTTTACGGTGTGGAGCTACTTGTTCGAGCAGTCGAGCATGGATGCATTCTTGTTGCTGAGGAAGAGACGATCTCTTGGGATGCCTTCGTGGCGTTAGTGGCGCCTGAGTTAGTGGTGGCCAAAGCGTTGTTACACCACTGCTTGCATTTGGATCCTGCGGATCCCTGACCCCCAAGCCCATTTGGACCGAGCGGTCGGAGAGACCGGTCCGGTCCGGAGTCTTGTGGAGTCGAAGAAGAAGGGACCATTATATGGCACTGGACTTCGGAAGATGAATGGTTATAAGTAAAAACTCATTTTTGGGCAACTGTTTTAATGCTTTGGGCTTGGGTGGTGGTAGATAGTGGCAATGACTCGAATGAAGGCCCTGAAGGACCCAAGTGGGGACCACGCTGACGATGATTCAAACGGTGTGCATTTCCACTCCGGCAGACCCCCCAATCGCCGCCCTGGCTGGGTAGACTGGTCTATGTTCCGAACCTTCCATGGGGCCGGACTGGGAGGTCTCCCTATTTCTAATACCCAAGTGCTTCCATCCAACTTCGCCACGACTGGATCTTCTTGAGGGCTGAGGAGAATGAGGGGCCGCGGCCAGGTGCCGGGGTCCGAATTTGCTGCATGGGTCGGATCCGATCTCTCTTCGGAGTGAGCACCCACGGGTGAAACCGAACGGAACTCAAGCGTTTCTGCGCGCAGCGGTCGGGTTCATGAGATCCGCAGATGGGCTGAGTGGTTGAGGAAAACACTGAGCATAGATGAGGGTCTGACCTACGGCCTCGGTGGGTTGATTAGAGGGAATTCCCCCAACAATTCCCAAAAGGACATCATTGACGCTGAGTATTATTCAGATTTATATGTGTAGTATACGTATGGATCATTACGGATCTAATAATCCCATCCTCCTATTAATAAACACGGGCCCCCCCCCCCTATTAAAAAAACCTCGGTCGCATTTTTTCTAATAGGGGGTCCCTGAAATCGGGGGGTCCAAAAAAGGGTCACCTGGGAAGAGCTTCAAAACCAAAAAGTAAATCCGTAAAGTTTTATATAAAATCCTTTATTAAACTCGTATCAAAAATGCAAAAAAGCTCCAGATCGAAGGGTCTTCCTTTTCCCCTACAAAAACCTTCATTAGAATAGTTATTCTTCAGTAGACTAACAGCTAAAGCTTTCGAAAGGTGATGTCGCTGTGCCATGCGGTGTTGCATGACCTCGGTGGCAAGTGCGTTTGCGTGAGTCCGTGCCATTATGAAAGCCTGCTGGTGTAAGCGCGGCGTGTCATGGTGGATAGACAGGGCGGACAGAGGTGGGCAGTTACGGTTGTTTTTGGGGAACCTAATTAAAAAAACTACCCCCCAAAATCGACCATGTTGGTAGTTTAGTAGCGGCTTGAAAGGGCGGCAATTTAAAACCAAATATAAACCGAATTTAGGGGTTCGGACGTGGTGTTTTTTTAATTGGGGAGGGTTTATTAATAGGAACTCGGGATTATTCTAGTAGAAGATTGATTTCAGGATATTTGGTGGCTTGGAATTGGCCACCGTTTGTGAGGAACCCACCGCTGAACCACAAACCACTCCCTTTTGGACCAACACTTCGACCACCAGTTTGCCCTATTGGCAAGTTGGTCACATATCCGAAAGTGACAAAGAGAAGAACGCTTTGATACCTACTGACCATCGTCGGTATCGATCGAGGTCAACAGGTCTGTTCCGTTCGCATAGCCATGGTCAACAGGTCTGTTCCGTTCTGTTCTTCAAGCTTCGTTTCTTCTGTTGTGGTTTACGGTATCTGAGGGGATGGAGGTGGTCCCAAAACGCCCAAGAACGGGATTCGAGCCATATAACAGATGTGTACACTGACCCCCGTGAATGGATATGTTATTATAGATGATTTCACTGTGTGCTATGTATTGCTGGAATCTCATCTATTTTTGAGACAATCCACGTGAGCTTGATTCATTATATACTGTACATGCGTCTTCTTTAATTATTGATTTGGGGCAGACATCGGCAACTTGCAAAAACCAACTCACTAAAGTTTCCAATTGAAGCGGTTAAGCTGTTGAACGTAGCTGACGTAGCCAGTTTTGGCCACTCCATAGATTTATCCGTTGGATGCCTTTGGTTTTTTGTAATGTCTGAAACCACGTGAAGCTTCACTCTCCGACGGGGCGGACGGGTCCAATTGAGGAACTCGCAAAGTGAGGTAACTCTGTGTATTTGAGGAACTCGGTCAGTGACACTGGGCAGTCCACGTTGGGCACCTTTGCATGAGGAACTGTGAGAAACCACTAGTCCCAGGCCAGGCCGGTGTTGATGAGCTTGAGGGTCCCCTCAAGCTCGGTCAGAGTGGAACTTGACCGAAGACTGGGTGAAATCATGAGTGAGATGGAAGACTTGAATGTGGTAAGAGCTGCAAAACGACCTCCCCAAGAGGTGCAACTGCGGACCATGGGCCATGTTCTTGTCCACCCGAGAGGTCGGGGGAGGCTTTTCCTCAAAATGAACCAATTTAGAGGCAGACCATTGGCTTCAAAACTGAAGCTGAAGTCACATCATGAAATTCTCAGTTCTTGGAGGCTTGGAGTGACAAAACGCATAGAATTCTAGATCTAAGTAAGGAATGGTGGTAATGTGCAATTACTATTCTACCGGCCTTTAGTTGTATGTTTTAATTCTCCATTAACCAGCTTCATGAAAATCAATTTATTGGGTTTAGGTTACTTGTACTGTATAGAAACAGTTGGTATCATTTAGTATACCGTCTATCCTATCTCTCCATTGCTTTTCTAATTTCCCACTCACGATCCATCCAAGAATTAACAAAGAAAAGACTGGCAGTGGATTATTGGGTAGTTGAATCGTTGGCCGAGCTGGGGTCTAAGGGTCTCATACTATTCCGTCTCATACTATGAAGACAATTGCCCATCCTCCCAACGGTCCCAGAGGAACTGGCTGTGACAATTTGAACGGGAACTTGGTGGAGCCAAGGCGCCGCCCAAGTGTGCAGTGGAGCCAAGGCGTTTTGAAGCCCGTGCAACTCAATGGATGGAAGTGGAAGAGATGAAGAGATGAAGACATGGCTTTTTGGAATGGGGCAATGTCTTTAGAGGCCTCAACATCACTTTTCCAAGCGATTTTAGTGTGAAGCAGCTTGGTTCAGTAGTTGACTGCCCACCAGTTGGATGAAGAAATCACTTCCATGTTGAGGGGGCCCAGTACATCCAGCTCAGCGCATATCTCAATGGAAAGCACTTGGTGACCTACTCATGGCAGCTGGATGCATTGGGAGTTGGGTGCGGATCATTTCAACGCCCCTTGCATGGAAAAAGCCAGCGTGCAGGGTTGCTTGTTGACAACTATGAGCGATGCACAGCTGTTTGCAAAATCAATGATAGGGGTCCTCCTATCACTCAAGTCGCCAGGGAGCAGTTCTCCGCTTGTTCGGAGATTTCCGGTTGAATAAGCCTGGGTTGGTGACACTTCGCACCCCTTGGGTCATTGTCCTCAAGAGCTTCTTGAGCATGCTCCGTGTGGGCACATCACGTGGCGAAGTGCCCCTAGACCCGTCTTCGCAGAGGCGTGCGTGTTCTGGCGTCACGAACTTTTCGAACCATGTACGTGTGAGTGAAGCGTATTCATTGTATATATATATATAATTGATTAAACTTGTCACGAAAGCTAGCTGTAGCTAGCTGGAGTCTGTCTTGCTTTAGCAAGGAGGGTGGGAGCCGAGGACCTGAGTGCAGACACCTGATTTATCAGGCTTTGCCCCCCCCCCCCGGGTTCAACTCCACCCTTCTCCTCAGTACCTGCTGCTGCTTGGTCTCTTGCTGCTTGCATGCTTGGTGCTGCTGATTGCCTTTGGCTGCTTGCTGGTTGCTGCTGACGTGTTGGGGCATGAGCGAAGAGTTCGGTGGGGGAAGCGGGTGATGAAGAGTTTGGTGATGTTTGGTGGAAGCATGGCAGTAGTTGAGTTTTCCCTTTGTGCATCCTATATTAACTATATTATTGTCACGCTGCCCCAACTCATGTCATGGTACGGTTGATGCCATTCATGCGGTTCAGGGTTGCTGCACTTGTTGCAACGCAACGAATAGACACTCTCAGGTGCGGCGTGGTTTGGGTTTCTTGAGGTGACACTTGGTCAGGAATCGAGGTGCGCCTACTAGGTTTCCGAAAAGATCGCACCTGCAACGCAATTCTCCCCGCTTCTTTCCTTCTCTCCTTCCCCAACCACTTGTCCCTCCCTAGCTTTCGCCACCCCCCCTGGGCCACAAGTAGGGATGTCATTTGATGTCAAGGTCCTGCAGAAGTGGAAGGCCCGGTAGGATTGGTGTGGCTTGGCGTATCGTGGCTCAAAGTGGGCCGCCTGCAACTGCTGTCACAGCCCCGGCTCAAGATTGTAAGAGTGAATGATGAAGAAAACAAAAGACATGATATCAATATCAAGGATAATTATATGAGTTGTGCCATTGTTCCTTCTACTCTCCTTGATTTGCTAAATGATTGGTGTGTGTGTGTGTTTTGGGGGGTTACGCGCGCAGTACTTATCCTGATGAATCAAGCAATCCAAGTAGCAAGTAATGCTGTCAATGCAGCTTGCCACGCTGAAGCCCAGTGCCCTGCAGGGGCCCGCAGGTGCTCCGAACGCATGGTGTGACGAGGTGGACTGGCTTGAGTCCCACACGTCCGCAACAGATCAACACGATGGTTGGGAAGCCATGGAAAGCCTCCGATTTGGTGAGGTACCTCCAATGCAGGTGTTTCACGGCATTTGCCGATATCAGACTGCGAGGTTCGCATTAGGAGAATTGGAAGCTTCACCAGCACGCAAGGGCAGCAAGGGGTTGGTGCCTTGTTCACAAAGAATACCAACTTGGTGAGGGCTTTCAGATAGCCACTCCATGCCATTCCAAACACTGGGCATTCACCCCAGCGGTTCAGTACTCCTGCATCGGTGCATGATGCCAGGTTGATTCTGCTAGCTGTTAGCTTGTTTTTGCCAACGAATCAGCAATTAGCATCAATATTGATGGATAGTGTGTTGGTGACAAGAAGAAGGAGCAACAAGAATCGGAATGATAAACCATGCCTGGGATGGGTTCAGCTTGGCCGTCGATTGGCCCACAGCTGAACTGCACGAGCTGGCTAACCACAACTCCTGGGCCATCAGAACATTAAGAACTAAGAACGACACTGAGATCACGGTCGATACTAGCAGCAAAAATCCCACACACCTTGCTAAGAGCCGCAGCGCTTCAGCCACGCATCCGTATATAATCATGTGTGTGGCGCATGTCATGTGTTTGTCACTTTGACTCGGATTTGACGTTCAAACACCTTATAGACAAAAAAGCTTGAGCTTCGGTGTGTTCAATCTTATGCAATGAAGTGCATGAAAGTACCAACAGTACCGCACAAATGTCATGCATAGCCAATCGGCTGCCCAACGTCTTCAATTGGTTTGATTTGGTGGCTTAAGAAAGAAGTTTTGACATCCAGCCTGCATCGTTACTGTAAAATCAAACGAGCATAAATGAGGAACCTGCTTGCTCGATTTCCCACTTGAGCAATGTGAAGCATGGGCCAGACCACCAAATGGTGGCTCTCATGGGCCTTTTTCTTTGCTGCTCCTTCCTTCCTCCTTCCTCAGCGACCCCAACCACGGCGCCACCTCACTGCCCAGCGTGCAGTTTTGGAGATCAAGGATGTCCGCGGCACCCACGATGAACTCCGGACCTTGTTTCAGATTGAGGAGCTCAAAATCGAGAAGGACCGGCGAGAGTAGGCAGTCCTTCGATGCCATGTTCATGTGAGAAAAAAACGAATGGTTTGCAGTGTTCTTGGCTTTGTTTGCCGTTCTTCACATATTGCTTCCGCTGCCGGCCGCCGCCACTGGGTGTGTGGCCTTTTCATGGCCTCATGGCCTCACTCGCCGCACTCCTCCGGACATCCGCCAGGGCCGGAAGGTCGCCGTGGTCGGCGCCAACGGCTGCGGCAAGTCCACGTTGCTCTCGTACCTCTCGGGGCAAGCGACGCCCCGCGAAGGCTCCGTGCGCCGCTCGATGGAAAAGGAGGGATCCGTTGGGAGGAACTATATAGTGAGATCCCGTCAGGGGATGTAAGGGGATTGGGTCTATAGAACTAGAATGAACTAGAACTGAGTTTTTTCATACTATATATAATAATAGTAGTTATGTGTAACTATGTGAGAGACTTGGTTTGCACAGAGAGAAGGCTATCATGCGATAAACTAAAAGAGAAGCCAAAACAAGTCAACCCAAAGCATCGAAATCCAATGATGTTGCTTCTTGTTGATGACGTGCTATTTCTTTAGAGTGACCTGTGTTTTGTTGTCCGGTTCTTGTTGGGGTTGACTCATGCTTGGATTGTTAATTTGTTTATGTTGTTGGCTCGTTGTTTTGTTTTAGAACTGAGCTTCCTTTGCCGATCGAAAAACCTAAGGGGTTCAGATGGAACCAACCTGACCCTGCAATTTGCAGAAGACACAAGCATGTTCCATCATGTTCCTAAAGACGATTCACCCTAATTACAAACAAGCTCCTATCAGTTCTTTGGGAGGACCAAATTCCATGTTTGCCGAAGCTCACTGGGATCTCGTCCACCATCCCTTGCTTTGAGGTTTGAAGCCACGGGCCCACATCACCATCGTGGAGCACCTTGGCTGCCTTGGCCTAGGGGACCGGTGGGGACGACGACTTCGACCCATCCCACAGACCGACTTCTCTCCTTGAACGGGAAATCCACCAATCCCAGTGTTTGGGCCGACTCCCTGGCGAACCCTGCTGGGATGCCAAGGCAAAATCCCACCTTCGATGCAAAGAAGACGGCACCCAGCTCAGTGGATGGTGGATGGTGTGGAGGTTTGTCGAGCGAACAATCCGGAGCTCGTGGAAGGACAGTCCTGGCTCCGCTGAAAGCAGAACACAGTCTTCCAAATCGTCAGATTGAGGAGGGCGTCGTTGTGTGGTTATATATGGTCGTTATATTTTGGCAAGCGATGCACTCCGGTTCATTCATACGGCGTTACTTTGGTGGAAGATTGAATGGTCTTTTTCGGGGTAGATCGTCTCAAGCAACAAAGCCATGCACATGGTAACAGAGACGATCGTTCTCCAGGACGTGAAGCTTGTGCAGGCACCCTTTCAGAGATGGATGATACAAGATCACACGGTTGTTTTCCCAGCAGGTGCCGAAGAACGACGCAAGAATCCATCTCAGTGGGTTCTTGATTTGGGCCAAGAAGTGTCCACTCCTGTGTCAAGTCATAGGCCGAGCTGCCCCAAAGCAGCAACACACAGAAAGAGCATGAAAGAGAATCCACATTCGTGATGTTCATGTTCCACTGCCTTCCACTGAGCATTCCCACAGAGACGTATTATATACTGTAGATCTCCTAACGATACTTCGTTGCTTTGAGATTCAGATCGTGAAAGGAAAACTACAAGGGCATGACCGTTTCTATAACCAAAGGATCCCTTTCGGAATGCCATTCAGCCCGGTGAGAAAAGGGAGATGAAAAAAGGTGGACGCGCTCCGGTCAGGTTCTGGACACCATCTACGAGAAGTCCAACTCACCGGTGGCCCGTGCCGCTCACGACTTTCGAGCCGCATGCGCGCTAGGCGGGCGGTTTGGGCCTCCCTCGGACCGGAGTGGTTGAATGGACTGGAGGGTCGAAGTTACTGCCCCAGCAGACCTCCCGTTCGAAGGGGTGACATTTTAGGGACCCGAATGGCCATGGCATGGGCCTGGATCGGGGGCGGTGCAGGCCATGGCATGTCGTTGCCTGGTGCGTGATTGAGAATGGCCATGGTGTGGAAGCAGTGATTTGTAGAACTAGAGACTTTGGAAAGACCTCCGTTTCGCTACTTGAACGATGATGTGAGCTTAAATATCATTGCCGGTTCCAGGAGAGGCTGCAATGTTTCGCATATTCAGACCATTGCAGCGATTCCCATCTATACACACATGAGTCAAATGAGCTCAAATGGTTTTTAGATGATTGTAGGTGTTGCACATGTTTAAGCCTAGTGTACTACAAGTCATGTAGATGGAGTGAAGGAGCCCAAAAACTGCTTGCAGATGTTGCATAGATCATGTGTTTTTCATTTGCTCGTATAGATCGCGTGCTCGCTGCTTTGTCACCACTGGGCGCTTCAAAACATGTGGCAGCTTAAGGCGTGGTCGGCCGTTTGGATCGGCTGGTTTCGAGGTGGCGAAGCTTTGAGCAAAGCCATGGACCAGATGGATGCGATGCCCGAGGCGGGGATGAGTCGGATGGGTCCAAACAGGCCAAGGCCAGCTTTGGCAACGAGATGTAGCAAGCAAGCTAGCTGCTAAGACATGCATAAGATACAGCAACAGGACATGTGCAGGGAAATGGGGCCCAAAGTTGTTTTGAAACGTATCAGACAAGACAAGCTCAGCAAAAGAACAACAAAATGCTTGTGGATTCTTCATACACTCGGCTCGCGTTGTTCGTTCCCTTTGTGAGGCCTGGACTTGGGACGAGCAGGTGGCGGAGGTCGCCGAGGCAGGGTCTCCCAACCAAAATCCCAAGAAGCACCAGTGTAGGGCTACCGCCACCGCACCGGTGAGTGTTCTGCCAGTTCTGCTCCAAAATCACTCACTGCAGGAGCTGGGGCTCTCCACGTTACTGCAGCGCCCTGTTGGGACGCTCAGTGGCGGTGAAGAGCGCCGAGTGGCGCTGGCTGCAGCTCTGGTGGACTTGCCTCAGACAGATGCTCGGGCTTGGCTTGGAGCTTTGGATGGCTTTGGAGACGCGCCTCCAAACATGGAATGGAGTTACAGTGGTTTCAGAGATGGCACAAACCCGAGGATGTCTCTTATATATTCTTATAATATGGTGTTTCAGAATCACTCTCGACGGCGACTACTCGTGAAAGGAGTGTGGGTTTTGGGCCCAGTATAAAACAAATCTTGTGAATAGCTGGCTGGCTTGCCCCTCTTTGATCTGGAGAAGAAATCTTGTGGATATTTCGAGCGGACATGAAACTCACATATATAGCAATCAGATCGGTGTAGTGAGGAGATCCTGCCCTTTTTTTTGAAGAAGGTCGCTGTTGTTGAAGCCGCTTCGGTGAGATTCCAGGAGCTGGTGGTTCAACCCGCGCACAGGTACTGTAAGTCGTACAGTGGCGGAAATAACACTACATGGATCTCAAGCGCCACGCTCCCTGAAATAATGTGGACCATTTCTTCTACAAACACACGGTGCCATCCACTTCCATGAAGATTTCAAGGAGTGCACTGAAATGGTTGAGTACAAAACCTGAACCAACACGACACAACACGCCCGTCGAGGACTTGCTGATCCTTGACGAGCCACTGGGCCTTGCTTGATGCGGCCGTGGGAGCCTTTGGGCGGATGCTGCTTTTGCTATCTTTTATTCTTTCATTCAAGACATGAGGGTCTACAATGAAAATGGGGTGGTTAGGTAAGTGTGAACATATCAAAAACCGTACGTGAGAAAACCACCTTAGACGTGTCAATGTCGTACCATGTCGTACCCCCCCCTGTCTAACACGGTCAGGAAACAAACCCTTGCTTTTCATTGTAGACCCCAGATTTGGGATCTACTCTGTTTACCTGAGGTCCCCTTGGAAGTAGTTGCCGGTATTTTGACATTGGAGTGGAGGGTGGGTGCCGCAGAAGCGCACGTGTTCATGTGCTTGAAGCTTCAGCTGCAGCGCACGTCCAGAGTCCAAAGTAATATGCGTCTTATTGCGTCTTTGATTTCTGTACTGAGTGCTTTCCTGACTGAAGATTGTTTTAATGGCCTTTTCCTTTGCCTTCAAGGCCCACGAACCACCTGTCGGCAGAAGGATGCGACTTTCTTCAAGAGAAACTGAGAGCCGCAAAGGATTTGAGCTTGGTGCTGGTCTCTCACGACCGCACCTCGGCTGTGGGTCAGATGAATTGGCAGTCGATAGATGTTCACTTGCATGAGCACCAGAATGTCCGGTTTTGTCTCACGTGAGAAGCATCAACACTTTGCAACAAAACTTTGAGACACAGAACCAGGTGTTGAGCTCCTTGTGTAGCAAGAAAGGCACATGTGACATCGGTCGGTTCTTATTTGTTAGGGAAAATGGCCGTTCCCTTTTTGTGACTTGTTTACCTTAGCGTGCAATATCTTGACAAGGAGGTCGAATGGTTTCGTCAGGCGATGTGCACATCCAACCACCACGTGCTTTGGCTGGAACATTTGTTGACAGAATCCTGTAGTCCAACTCAGGTGCAACCTGTCTTGGGTACTAGGGGCTTTGAATCAATCCCATGCATGACCGCTCCTCCAAATCACAAGCCGCAAAACACCTGTGAGGGTGATCTGACGAGACCAAAGCGAACAAGTTCTCCATGGGCAAGGACCCTTGAACACAGCATCCTTCATGTTAAACAGGCTATTTCCTCGACCGCGTGTGTGACGAGATCTTCGAGATTGATTGGAACGGCGAGACCTTCCTGCATCCCGGCAGCTGGGCCAGCTTTCTCGAGCGCCGCGCCCAGCGTCGCTCGGCTTGCTCGGCGCGCGCGCCCGCGCGTCCCGGGACCGGCTGATGCGCCGCTGGGCCAAAGAGGGGGGAGGGGCCTGTGGAAAAAAGAGGCTGTGCAATTGCTAGACTTGCCATTTGCAAAACCTTCGGTGGCTTTCAGACTGAAGCAGTTGCGGAATCACACATTGCGCTCCGCAAACAAACATGAAGCACCCCATGCTGCCATAGTATGTTCCGGTGTTGGTTGGTCTGCCCAGAGGCTACGCCGTGCCCGTTTGAGGCTACGAGACTCGCGCTGGCCAAGTGCAAGATGCCAAGGCGCGTGAACCGAACAATGGACCCCGAGCCTTTGGGGCCACCAGAACTTCCCACAGCCAGCCTTTGTTTAGAGTCTAGATGAAACATGATGAAATGTCAGAGGTAAACATGTGGGGTGGCACTGCAAAATAAGAGCGTGATGTATCCTGACATGGGAATCCCATTGCATCATATTGCATCCCATACCAGGCTTTCTTACTTCAACGAATGCAACAAGCTTGGCGAAGTCACCAATTTGCTTCCACTTCGATTTGAGCTGTCACATCCCACCCCATGCAAGTGCATTCCCTGGCAGACTCACAAGTTGTCCCTTTTTTGGCCTATGATATCCATTGGCATCCTATGATCCATGCTGTCCATCCGTGTTGTGTCCTCCCCACATGCCTGGCCGACGCAGCTGCGCATGCACCGTGTTGAGGTGCAGCTGCGCCGCGCGGAGGAGTGGGCCCGGCGCGGCGCCTCCGGGCGGGGAACGAAGAACAAGGCGGGAGGACGTGTGGATTTCCTTGAGGGATCCAGGGGACCAATCCTAGGGAAATGTGGGGAGCTCATAACATTTGGGACATCCATTTTGGATGGTGTTAATGAAATCCTTAGATATTTTCAGCTTGTGACCAGTGGAATTTCAGCTTGATCAGCTCTGAGACATCCCTGTTTTGCTTCGGATGGTGTAGCAAGGCCTTGGAGGACCACTTCTAGGTGCTTGTAGTGCACTGGAAAAACAAAGGCTTTAATCTAATCAGGGGTATGCACACGTGCACATGGCCAAATTGCTGTTCTTCCAAGCATCGCCCAACTCATCAGAGATTCCTACCCAAGCCGCTGAAGAGCTGCTTGAGTGTGAGGAGCTCATTGTGAATTGTGCACCGGATGCTCTCAGGATCAAGAGCCATTTTCATGTGGAGAAGACTAGAAGACAAGCCCAATCAAGCCCCGCATGATCCGATCAGTTCCAGTTCTTCGAGGTTAGCCAACCATACCATACCGGAACGGCGCCGCATTGAGTCTTCCCCAGTTCTTTCTCGTGGCATTTGAGTCTTGTTGGCCAAACAATCATGCACATCCAAAATCACAGCGATAAGGACACCATGAGCCACTTGATCAGCACCCAAACCAACCATGTAGAATGTATGTGAGTTGGTGTAAACATGTGTAAACTAATTATGTTTTTCTTACACACCAAGTGCTTTCTTTAAACAGCAGCCGAATGATTGGTCGAAAGAGTCAGGGTGCCCAAAACATAGGACACCTCCAAATGGCCAACCATGGGCCATTCTCCACATATTCTCCATGCTTTGACATCACGCACGTGCTGCACCCTCTGCGTTGAGGCACAAATGATGGCCGTTGATGAGCACCTTAGTGATTTGCACAGGGCTGGAGGGGGAGCAGCCTTTGATTCTACTTTTTTTGTCACTTCCAAAAAGATGTGTTGTGTTCTTGTACTACTCCAGACTCCAGACATCAGTCTGAATGCTGACCGGGATAGTCGTGCTTCGGAACGCTCAGTCCGACCTCGGTCCTTCAGCTACGTTGCTGACGTCGCTTTCGGTAGAAACTGGTTTGGGTGTCATGCCTGGTCGCTGTGAGCAGCTACAGTCAGCCTTTTCTGAGCTGCTTCTTTTTTTGCATGTGCACATATGTCTACGTGCACATAGCTATTCTTGCTACAAGAGTTTCTAGCCCTTACACTCAGGCTCCGGAATAAAGCAAAGGCAGTGGTGGCAGCTAACGATGGCACGCCGGACCTGCAGAATAACCTGCTGAAGGGGAAGGCTCGGACACTGGAACTCACGAACATGGGAGTGAAACGGCTCCGGTTTGCAGAGCAAAGGAGTCTTCCAAGGGACGATGTTTCACTTCCATGTTAGTGAGTCAGAGATAGTCAGAGTGTAGGTCTGAACCTGGGCTTTGGGTACAGAAGGAACCCCTTCGGCAGTTCCAATCCACCTGCCTACCAACAATGTTGAAAGGATCCTGGCAAGGCCAATTGAGGGATCATATAGAATGCTCTAGACTCTAAGCTCTTGGATCCGTTTGTTGAGGAGGAGGATGATCTTATCAGTTGCTGTAGATGTGTGACAATAACACAAAAATACATTGCTTCCAGTGAAGCAAGTCCGAAAATCATCAATCAGTTTGTCCTGGAGACGAAAGGTCGCCAAACTTAACATGATGCCTCTTAGGTGCCCAGCGTCGTCAACGTCAGCGTCGTCAACGGTCGACTTGTTCCTAGGCTCTCTCGACTTCCTCCTCGGGCCTGGTGGGACGTGTGGTGCTGCAAGATATTGTGGTGGAAGTACCAAATCGAGGAGAGAAAAGCAAACCGGGAGGGAGATGTGATCGAAAGTCACCGTCAAGTCGGTCTAATAATGTCAAAGCACCGTGAATCAAGGAGAAAATAGAACTACACACACCTTGCTGAGCAGAGCAGGTGAAGAATGTGTTAAAGTGTGTGCTTGCCAGGCATTGATTCCAATGTCACTTGCGCAGACACACACACACACACACATAGAAACGCGTACTGATGTGAATGCGGTGCCACACGCCAGCCTAAGTGAAAAA